CAAGTGGTTAAGGGGATTTGTCACTTGCCTACAGGGACTAATGATTTTCTCTCTCTGCCCAAATATAGAGGACATAGAGGACAGATATTTATCCCAGAGAAACTTGCCAGTATGTAGTCATGCTATAAGCAAGGTACTTAGAACTGGGCAAAATGTTGGTTAACATGAAAATGAGCTCCTGGGGAGGGGATGGGGTAGGAAGATGGGTAGTGTTCTACAGAGAACTCTGAAGGAATAGAAAAGGTAGATGAGTGCTACGATGAAGAAGAAGAAGGAGAAGGAGAAGGAGAAGGAGAAGGAGAAGGAGAAGAAGAAGAAGAAGAAGAAGAAGAAGAAGAAGAAGAAGAAGAAGAAGAAGAAGAAGAAGAATCAGCAGCAGCAGCAGCTTGGTGGTGGTGACATGGCTTTAATCCCAGAACTCAGGAAGCAGAGGCAGGCAGATCTCTGTGAGCTCAAGGCCAGCTTGATCTACAGAGGACATCCAGGGCTATACAAAGAAGTCCTGTCTTGAAGCTGCAACCCCCATAAAAAACTTATTTTATTTCATGTATATGAGTGGTTTTACTTGCATGCCTGTCTGTGCATGGTGTGTGTGCCTGGTGCCCACAGAGGTCAGAAGAAGGGATCAGATCCCCAGTAACTGGAGTTACAGATAGTTGTGAGCCATCATGTGGGTTCTGGGAGCTGAACCTGGGCCATTTTAAGCTCTGAGCTATCACTCAGAGCAACTCTGTGTCAAGTTAAAAATGACCTTACTCTGATATCATGAAGGTGGGCTGAGAGACAAGTTCTGCTCAGGAACAGCAAGTGTATTTGATGTTACTAGGTATCTGACTAGGCACCTGAGTGTGGATTCTAAGAGTTCTTTGGTGGAGAGTGGTGAGGGGCTCAGAACTGTGGGTCTACAATGAACAGCATTCAAGAAGAGACATTTGGTGGCAGTGAAAGTGATCAATAAATATGAATCTGAGACTATTGTTCAAGAATAGGGAAATAGAGACATAGAGACATTGAGAAGATGTAGTAGAAATACAAGAACAGTACAGGGTTACTTGGAGAGTCAGACCCCTGTGTCTGCCTCAGACTGTATGCATGCATGCATGTATGTATTTTGTTCCTCTAGAGAACTTTGACTGATACACTAAGAGAACTTAATAAGATAGTTTTGCTTTCCCTGGATTTGAATGAGTGAGTTTATTAAGTATATAGTAAGCCAAAGTAAAAGAATAAATAGCAAGTAATACACAGACAGACAGATTGGCTAGATAAACAGCAAAGCATCACCTAACTGGGTGCTCAAACGGCCAGCAGACACAGACTGAAGAAGCTCTGTTGAGAGCCAATTGGAGTTCCTCTAGAGAGAGTCTAGGGCAGGCAGGTTTCCTTCAGGCGAGGCTTCCCAGCAAAAGAACAGAGAGTAATAGTGTAGGATATGACATTTCAGGAATAATTTGTTGGATTATGAAAAAACCCTGCTTAACCATCAATAGAGTCAGGGAATGCTCAAGAAAAACTTTGCCTGGTAGACCCAAGTTTTGTTTTGTTTTGAGACAAGGTCTTTCTAAATAGCCCTGGCTGTCCTGGAACTCACTCTGTAGAACAGGCTGACCTTGAACTCACATAGATCTGCCTGCCTCTCCCTCCCAAGTGCTGGGATTAAAGGCATGTGCTACCACATCTGGCTTTTACCTGAGATTAACTTTTGGGGTTCCTTTTGAAGACAAAGTATATGTTCCCCATTGTTTTATTTTCTAGTCTCTCTTATTTGTTTTTTTTTTTTAAATTTAGATGCTTCCTGAAAAATAAGGTTTAGTCCTGAACAAGTGAACCCAGTTAGTAACTTTATGAGATTTAACAGTCTCCTTTTAAAACTGCTTACACTTGGCTATCTGAATGGCAGTTCTTTGATTATACTTTGCTTTTGGGTGTCTGAGACCATGTACGTGACTCCCTTAGCTTTCCTCTGTCAGCCATGTCTCTGCAGGAATGGGTCAGGGCCCTGCTTCCTCTGGAAGCATAGGAAATATGTCTCTCTCAATTGTTTCTCCTCCCTGTGGAATGCACATGGATCAGAATCCAATTGCCAGAGACTCCATGACCTGTCTGATCAAGAGGCCAGGCGACTTAGCAAGACATGTCCATGAGGCACGGGCTGGCCTTGGAGTTTAAGGGTTAAAAATGGCTTTCGTTTGCACCTCTTATCTTCACAGAAGGACAGACAGCCTTCCCAGTTTCATGATTCTAAATCATCTATAACATTAGAAGAAGTTTAGACAAACAAACAAATAAAAACAAAACATTCCTTGGTTAGGGTTTCGACTGCTGTGATAAACACCTTGAGCAAAATCGACTTGGGAGGAAAGGCTTTATTTCAGTTTATAGCTTGGAGTCTGTCATTCAAGAAAACCAGGGCAGGAACTCGAGGCAGGAACCTGGAAGCTGGAATTGATGTAGCTCCAGGGAGGGATGCTGATATTGGCTTGCTTCCACAACTTGCTCAGCCTGCTTTCTTACACACCCAGGGTCATCAGCCCAGGGGTGGTGCCACCCACATTGTCCATCCACCTGCAGGCCATGCTGGCTCTGGCACTCTCTCTGCCGATGCTCTGTCTTTCTAATAACTCTGGCTTGTGTCAAGTTGACATAAAACTAGCCACCACAAAGCAGTTTTTAAACTAAGTCCTGATTTTGCTAAGACTCACTTTTCAAAGTGATTAAAAAGTCTAACAAAATTGGAAAAACACAAGCAACCACCTTGATTTGACACACATTTTTGCTGTTTAAAACAGTTATTATAAAGGTTGCTATCAGTAGATCAATATCTTCAGGGATTCTTAACAACCTTCAAAACAAGAGTTGGATTACATACAAGGTATGATGTAGCAAACTGAGGTTTTGTGTCTGTGCATGTTGTTTGATTACCAAACCTTTTGTTGTTGTTAACAAATCTCAGATTAAGTTTTTTACCACTCAGGTGAGATACATACATATCCTTGTATATATGTTTATTCATCAAGGCTCCGTGTAAGTTAACATTATTATTATGAATTGGATGGTACAGCTTAGGGAGGGAATCATCCTCATGATAATTCACGGGTAAAAATGCCCAGTAGAATGGGGTGTTTCCATTAATAAACATATTATGTTACAGTCAGTGGGGATTTCCCCCAAATCCAATTCAACCATGCCAGATATTAGAGAGAGAGAGCAATAGCAAACATATAAAGGCATAGCAGAAGCAAAAGATGTTCAAGGGTCTGTGGTCTCGGGGGGCCTTGGCTACTCAAGAATTATCCACCAGGGGGTTGCCTCCTAGTAGACCATCACCCTGAACCTCAATGCCATCAGCTACCCCCTTGACACAGCCACTGGCAATAGACTTACAGGTAAGTTTCATCAGGCTAAAATCAGGCCCTAGGAAAAATGTTTTAACCCAAAGATGTAACCTTTCCTGTGACACCAAGGTATAAATCTGTTCCAAGCTGTTTTACAGGCATCGGCAGGTTCCTGGGAAAAGAGTTCTGCTACTGTATCAAGAAATCAGTCTCTAGAGCCCCTCTTTGATCCCACCTCTCTTCAAGCCTGTATTTTACAGGTCCACTCTTCCTGCCAGACTTGTGCCAAGGCCAACACATAGGGGTGGGGGTTTCCAGATGCACCAGTCCCTGCCCCATCTCTGAGGACACCAACAACCTGGCAAGTACCGGCAGGTTGTCTTCACCTCACATGCCTGCTTATAAAAAGCTCTGTTATCTCTTAATTCTTATCCACACCTTTACAGAATGGATGTAGAGACTCCCCACCTCCCGGAACAGCAGATGTGATGACTCAGGTTCTCCTAGATCACATCATCCCCTGATTTGACATGGCATCCCCCCAAGCTCCTGGAACACCAGTGCTGATACCACCTCTCCAGGCTCAGGCGGGTACCTATCCAGGATAGATGTCTGTCCAGCAACTGGGACCCTCCCCGCTCAGGTTTTCCAAATTGTCCCAATGAAGGGCCTGCCTGCCCTTCTGCCTTGCTCAATTGTCTTTGTCAGTACAACTAGGGCACATCTCCACTCTCCCCATGGCTAGTCCCGTTCATAGGACTGGCAATAACAACCTATTTTTTCTCTTAGCAACCAGCCTTCTCCACTTCCTCAAGAAACATATGCCGGAGACCTCCAGGGTGGCAGTTAGCTGAATGCTTCTTTACCCAGCCCTCCCACTGAGCATTAGCCCACTGACTCCTGACTCCCCATTCCCACATCATCCTATGCCAACTGGAAGTAGCCATACTTTAGCCTGCACTCATCTAACCCAAGAAGAACGGAATGTTGCATTGGAAGCTCTGCCTCAGCCCCCTCCTCCCTCTCCAAACCCTGCCCCTCAGAAAGCCTGCCAAGCAATGACTCCTCCCCCAGAGCTGCTCAAGACCGGGCCAATAGGGAATTTAAACTCCAAACCATAGACCTGCCAAGTCTCCTCCTCCCCCCTCTGCCTCACTTCTGGGGGTTTGAGAGTCACTGGAGAGCGCTTTGCTCATCAAACCTGGACTTTTTAATTCGGCTTGATCTGCCTTAATTGGCAGAGAAACCTACTACTGGGAATACAGAAATGTTTATGTAGCTACAATGTTACATCTTGTCTGCTTCTGCGGACACACATCCTGCTAGGTCCCTGAGAGCAGGCCAGTGTAAATGCCTGAATGCTCACACTGAAAGTACCTGGAGTGCTCAACTTCTGACATGCTCACTCTGTAAACTGCAGCTTTAGACATGGAAGACATTTGTTCCTTTGTTGTGGCAGTCCGAGCAGAGGCCCGGTGTCTGCAGGGTGAATTGTCACTCCATCCATTGTGTGGTCACCACTTTTAAAGAGAAATAGCACCTTGTAGAGATTGTTGGTCCCACGCTGTTGTGTTCTGCACAGCCCTGAGAATCAGTGATGATGGCCACGCTTTCAGTTTTGAGTGAGTGAGTATATTACGTATGTAACAAGCCAAAGCAAAGGAGTAAATATAAAAACTACAAAACATTGTTAATCGTGTGGGGAAGTTGTGTAGAGATGGAGGTAGGGGGTGGTGGAGCTCCCAGTGGAATCAGGGCAGAGCAGTTAGCATCTTGGAGAGGCTTCCAGGTTGAAGAATAAACAGGATAAACAAGTACAGTATCTGTTAGAAATGGTTCATCATCTAGCTGTTCCAAAAGACAGTGTTTCCACTCTTGGCCTGTTTTGCTGGTTTCTCTATCCAGCCACTGGGTTGGAGGAGCCAAGCCATCCTTAGAAAAGATGCTTTGGAGGACATTTGGAGACAAACATACTTGGGTTTAAAATGGGGGGAGGGGTACAATCCTGCTTCCAGAGTCATGTTCTCAGTGGGTTCCCTCAGCACCTGACGTTCACTACTGTGATGTGCATAGCAAGTGTTAAGTTTTACTTAGGAGGCTAACTGAACAGGAAGGGCAATACAGAAGGTGAGAAGCAGAAGTGTGGCAGGCTGTTTACACAGAAGGTTAGAGTGGATAGTGGGCTCTCTGAGCATTGCTGGAGGGATGGGTAGTGGAGAGAACAGAAGGACTATGTTAATAAAACAATGTGGTTACAAGGTTGAAGTTATTTGCTTGTATCTTCAATTGAAAAAATCCTCTTGAAAGTCTTCTCAAACAGCCCTCCTACTGTGACTCCAAGATTGTTGAACTTGTGGTTCTGAAAAGGAAGTAGGAAATCAGCTGTTAATGGGCTCGAACCTCTCTCCTCAAGGTGACACAAAGACCCTAAGACCCGAGGTGGTGAATGATACCAAGGAAACAGCATCTTCTAGTACAAGAGAGTTCATACACATGGGAACTCACAGAGACTGTGACAGGATGCTGAAGACCTGCAGAGGTTCAAACCAGACAAAATCCCAACCCTGAGAAGAAGTAAGCACAAAGTTATACCCTAATCAAAAAGCCATTCTCAGTTGGTACCCGATGGGAAAGTGAAAATCGGTTTTCTCCATCAGAGTGTCGATGGCTATATCAACCTTTCAAGACAGGCCCCACGCTGAGGAGTAGCTGGTCCACAATAAAGCAGAGATCCACCTGCTTCTGTCTTTGTCATTTTGTTATTTGAAAGTGTGTGTACTCGTGTGTGGGTGTGTACATGTGGGTGCAGGTGCCTGAGGGATTAAGAAGAGGGTGCTGAATTCCCTGCAGGTGGAGTTGCAGGTGACCTCCCTGATGTGGGTGCTGGGGGCCTCCTTCCAAGAGCAGCAGTGAGTACTCCTAATCTTCCAGCCATCCCTCCAGCCCTGTCACAAGAACTTTTTGTCCCAGCACTAGGACATTTAGTCACTAAGAAACTTGGGGTTTTGCAATGTGAGAAATCTGATTTTCTCACTTTATAGATGAGAAATGCTGGCTGCCTTTAAAATACCCTTCTGTCCTCTGCAAGGGCGAGCATCTCTGCGGTGGGTTGCTCTCCCTGGGTGAAAGTCAGCTGTCCAGAAGTGAGCTTCCAGCGGGTCTAAGTGAGTCACTGCTGCTTGTCCGTTCTGTATCATGGGGCTTTCGGGTCCTCCCTCAGATTTGACTTTCCCCACGATCAGGACAATTATAACATCTACCTGACATGAGGAAAAGTGACTCAACTCGGGGAAAAAAGAAAGAGAGGCTCTTACTTGATAAAATATGCTGTGATTCTGAAAGATGAGGCGCATGTCCTCCACAAAACGTTGTACAGAATGGTATGCCTTCTTTTCCAGCCTGTACTTGATTTTGTTTAGCCACATGTTCTTGAGGCCTGGAAAGTCCGCTTTATTCTGTTGTGGAAAGCAGGGGTGGGTGGGGGGGTGGGGGGTTAGGGTGTGTGTCGGGGGTGGCTGCCAGCATAGTCCTGAGTCCTTCCACATACTCCCATGGTTGTAGATTCTGAATGTTGTATCTCCACCCCCTCTAACTCATCCTAACCCCTGGTATACTGGAACTCAGAAGTAAAGGTTTTGCAATTAGTTTATGAAGGTGCAGACCCCCCACCCCCGGGATGGGGAGGCTTGTGTGTGGAATTAGTGCCCTTATTAAGACTCTGGGAAGCTCTCTCCATCTCTTTTCACCATATGAGAGAGCAGCCATCAGTGAGCCACCTGCCTCTCAGAAGACTTTTAGTCAGTTGTCATGGTACAAACCTTTAACCCCAGCATTGGGGAGGCAGAGGCAAATGAGTCTCAGTGAGTTTAAGGACAGCTTGGTCTACAGAATGAGTTCTGGGCCAGACAGAGAAACAGTGAGACCCTGCCTCAAATATGAAGTAGAAGACCCTCATTAGAACCCAGTCTTTATCTGCACCTTGGCCTAAGACCACCAGTTTCCAGAACCATAAGAAAAAAATTTATATTGTGTATACTGTCCCCAGTCTATGGTCATTTGCTATGTATGGTTACCTGCACAAAGATACCCATCAACAAAGCAACGAGAAAGATGACATGCATGGGAATAAGATCACAAGATTTCAGTTCTGTTGTTGCTACTCACTTGCTTTGGTTTGTGGATAAAAAACCTACTTTTTGAATGGCAGTACATAGTCAAGAGAAGCAGCTCACATTTCTGCAAAAGATGAAAGGCAATGGAAGGTAGCTTAGGGAGAAAAGGCCTGCCTAAATCCCAGGAGTCAATGAATGACTCCCAGACCTTTGACCTCTTTGAGACAAATATGATATGTGACTACTCTCTGAAGCATGAATTTTAGCATTGGGTCACGTGATCAAAACACATCAAGATTTACCTTGGGGCTCTGTTCCTTACCGTCTGCCAACCAAAAAGAGGGGCCTCCAACTTCACATTGACTCACCAGCTGCTTCTCAGGCAACATCCTCCACCTCAGGACCTCAGATTCCTTAAGACGTGCTTGATTTTCTTGGCATCTTAACTGATCCTTTGTCTTGCAGAAGACACAACTCCACAGGCCTCTGAGAGGTCAGGCATAAAGTGAGCAAGGACAGAGTCTGTGAACCAGACACCATCCCTGTGGCTGATAAAGACCTCTGCTCAGGCAAGTGGTTTCCACCTAGCATTCAACGTCAGTCTTGGAGGACACTGTACTGGAGCTCCATGTGGGCTCGCTATGCAAAGATAACCCCTTCAAGAGTGAATGTGCTGAATGAGTTGGTACCCAAGGATATGATAGATTTCTATTGACCTCAAAACCTGAAGTTTCCATTTGAGTATTGGGAACTTGACAGCAAGACATGTTTGGTTGTAACAGTGAATTTAGTGCCTTAAGGGGTCTTGAACCTTGATGAGCCAACCAGACAAGAGTTATAATCAGGAAACCAGAAAGCATCTCTTGCTTCTTAGCCCTGTTGAATAAGTATAGCAAAAGCTACAGGCTTTTTTTTTTTTTATCTGACATTGCCAGGTCTACAGCCAGAATCTGTGTGATGGAACTTATTGGAAAGGAAATGTACTGATGGTGTCAGATATTTTTCACTTTACCCCACATGCTGGCTATTTGTATGTCAACTTGAGTCCATGGGGAAAATGCCCCAACCAGATTGGCCTGGGGGGGGGAGTCTATGGTGCATTTTCTTGGTTGATGATTGGTGCTCACTATGATCTAGCTCACTATGGGCTGTGCCACCCATGGGCAGGTGGTCCTCGGTGCTGTAAGAAAGCAGGCTGAAGAAGCCATGGGAAACAAGCCAGCAAGCAGCACTCCTCCATGGCCTCTGCATCGGTTCCTGCCTCCAGGTTCTTGCCCTGACTTTCCTGGATGATGGCTTACAAACTGTTAGATAAAGTAAAGCCTTTCCTTCCCAAATTGCTTTTGGTGGTGGTGTTTTATTACAGCAATAAAAATCTTTACTAAGACACCCCAAGCTGCAATCATTTCAACAATCCATCTTAACAGTACCGGCCTCTCCTTGTCCATTCCCATTCAGTGGTTTTTTGTTTGTTTGTTTGTTTTTTTTGAGATGCTCCTGGTGGGTGTTATGAAAAGCTCGTGGAGGACCTTGGTGGATTCCACGGCAGGCAAGGGTGACTGAGGGGGGAGGGACAAGCATGCCAGGCAGACAGAGCATAATTGAGAAGTTTTATTAGGAAGTGAAGGGTGGGGGAGGAAAGAGGCTGAGACACAGAGACAGAGAGAGGAGGGAAGAGAAGAGGGAGGCAGGAAAAGTCCTGCCTGCCCCACGGGAACAGCAGGAAGGAGAGGAGCGGGGAAGAGAGGAGCAGGGTGTTAGGAGCTGCCTGTGGGGTGGGCAGAGTGAGAGAGCTGAGTCATTTTGTGCCTGGTATCTTGTCTAACTGGTCAGAAGAAGAGGTTCCCAATAAATCACTGAGATGGTGCCCCAGAGCAGTGGGTGGGCTTACGACTCCTCCTGTCACCAGAGGGCAGTGTTCTCTTAGAGGATTGCTAATAGAGAGCAGTCCCCAGGTCACAGTAGTTCTGTCCACACCATTCCCAGAAGCCATGCAATCCCTTGTCAACCTCTCGGAGTATCCCATACTATCTCTGCCCAGAGACACAGATAAAGCAAAGGAGTGCTCTGCTGGGGGTTGGGCTAGGGTGCTGACACACAGTTCTCATGATGTGCTCAGCAACCCAGAATCTCTAGTTTGATAGAACGCTGAAGGCTTGACACAGCCCAGCTTTATCAATTTTGCAGTTCCATAGCGGGAAGAGGAATGCATGATTAAAACCAACAACCACTATATGGTGTCATCACCCCAATGGAGCACAGAGGTGAGGCAGAGTGTAGAGTGGCCCACTTCTCTGGGTTTGGAGGCTGTCCTGGAACTCTTGTATGTAGACCAGCCTGGTCTCTGAACTCAGAGAGAGATCCACCTGCCTCTGCCTCCCGAGTGCTGGGATCACACAGTGGTGTGTGCCACCACTGCCAGGCCTCCATTAATCTTTATATTAATTTTTTTCCATTAATCTTCTGCTATGAGTGCTAGAAAACAGCTCTTGATACTTTTGGATCTTGAAACTAAGGGTCTCAAGACACATCCAACTGGAAACTGCAACCCAGCAGGATGTGGTGTGTGTGTGTGTGTGTGTGTGTGTGTGTGTGTGTGTGTGCACTAGGAAGGAAGTGTGCACTAGGAAGAAGGGTTGGGTGGGGGCAGGGCTGTCTTACTAACCTCTTGACTTCCACAGGTGGGATGTGACATCTCTTATGATAGAATTTTCTACAAATAGTACAATGGTACAACCTCCGTCGTTGGCCGCACACTGTACACTGTTTTGAATTTTCCAGCTACAAGAAGAAATGTTCCAGAAATCACCAAGAGCAGTGTGACCCCAGAATGCTAGAACACGTGGCCTTTGCCTAAGCCAAGGTGGCCCCAGAAATCTCCTTACTCCAAAGTCTATTTCAAATATTTATTTATTTTATGTGTGTCCCTGAGTGTATGCATATACACGCACCATCTTTGTGTAGGTGTCTGCAGAGGCCAGAGGTGGGAATCATATACCCTGGCCTTGGATTTGCAGGTGGCTATAAGCTGCCACGCGGGTGCTAGGAACCAAACCTGGGTCCTCTGGGAGAGCAACCAGTGCTCCTAACTATTTTATATCTCTCCAGTCCCTCTCCTCAAAATATTGAAGACTATTATTGACCAGAGATTTTAGAAAAAGGCATTCTGATATGAAATAAAGTTCAGGGAATTGCTAGGACATGTCATACTAGAAAAATTTACAATGTGAAAGTAGCAATTCTGACGTGGAAATAACACAAACACCATCACAATAGCAACAGTAACAAAAAAGACAATTAAAGATAACATGACAAGTTTTGTTGTTGTTGTTTTTGTTTTTTTGAGGCAGTGTTTCTCTGTATTATTTTTTGGAGCCTGTCCTGGAATTCACTCTGTAGACCAGGCTGACCTCAAATTCACAGAGATCCGCCTGCCTCTGCCTCCTGAGTGCTGGGACTAAAGGTGTGCGCTACCAACGCGTGGCGTCCTGACAAGTTTATTATTCAGGAAAGCCTAACTCTAAAATATAATGTCTTATTCTGGCTTAATTAATTAATTACCTAGTTAATTTCATCATTTTTTTTTTTTTTTTTAAAGATGTGGCTCATGCAGCCAGGGCTAGCTTGAGTTCTGATTCTCCTGACTCTGTTTCCAAGGTGACATTTCTAATGTTCAAAGACTGTGGTCCCAAGAACTACCTAGGGTTGAAGAACTGGTTCTATTATTAGAATGCAGGTTCTGTCCTGTGCCTTCAACTCATTTCATTTGCCACAATATTCACAGTTCCTCCCATGACCACTCTTCCTCTAGTCTTTCAGGTCTGTATTCTGGTTTTGTTTTGAGCCTCCAGCATTCACTCTCTGCTTCTCTAGGGAGATCTTTACTGTTCTGTAACCCTGTACCTGCTCCTCTTTAACAATGATCCTCTAACTTCCAATCATGTGAAGCCTGGATGTGAACCCAGACTCTGCTCTCTTCTCATCTCCAATACCCAAGCCCTACACCAGTCATGCTCATCCTAAGTTTTAAGCCTCGCCTCATGCTTGTGCTTGTGTAGGGCCTATGTCAGGGCATAGAATTCTTTACTTATGACAATATCAGCAAAGGAAAACATCTAACAAGGTAGAGCTGAAGTGAATAAAACTATAATTTGTAGTTTCTTCACCCAGACACTTACTAGGACACAAGAATTACACACAAAGTTCAAATTCTAGGCTGCAAACATGAATCTGGTTCATCGGATCTTTCTATAGGAACCTTGAATGGCCCATGAGGGACATGTTTGGAGGCATCTATCTCTAACAAGGAGCAGAGGCAGGAAACCTTGCAACAGTCCTTGCTTTTTATAATAGCAGGTGAGCCTATATTTGCTGAACACTATTTTTAGGCTGCTGGGTCAAGATTTCTGAGTCACTGCAATTGACTCCTGAGAAAGAGCAGTACACTGGCAAATCTACACAGTGTTCCATTGTCTAGAAGCCTGGAAGCTTGAGGTTTATCTTTTTTGTGTGTGTGCATGGAATCTAGGCCTAGGCAATCACTGTACCATTGAGGTACATCTCCATACACCTCCAGCCTCCTTTCAGTGGCCATCCCTCCACGGTGCTGGAGTTTGAACCCAGGGGACCTGGAGTGTGATAGACAAGCATTCTACCACTTCACCAATGAGCTATGCCCTTGCCCCTTTGGTTTTTCAGTTTTATTTTAATTTTATGTGTTTAATTTTATGTTTTTGCTTGCATGTGCATCTATATACCACTTGCAAGTCTAGGGGTGACAGAGGATAGAAGAAAAAGTCAGATTCCCTGGAATTTGAATTACAGATGGTTGCAAGCCACCATGAGGATGCTAGGTTGAATCCAGGTCCTTGGAAGGGCAACAAGTACTCTTAACTGCTGAGCCTTTCTCCAACCTCGCCCCCTCCCCTTTTAAAACAGAAAATTTGTTCTCTTATTTAGTAGTAATCATCAACATGTTATAAACTAAAATCACTCATGGAATTTAAAGGAAAAATTCCAGGCTTGAGAATGTAGTTCAATGGTAGAATGTTCACTCTAGCATGAGTGAGACTCTAGGTTTGACCCTTAACCCTGAGGGAGAAAAACAAACCAAGTATCTAGGCTCTCATCAACACCAGTTTCAATTACCGAGTCTGGCCTAGAGTCAAGCACTGGATGCTTAAACATTCTGGCGGGGGTTCATTCTAATGCAGTCATCAAGTGAGATCTCTGCATGTGAAGCAGTGGTCCATAGACCAGAAGCCTCAGCATCCGCCTCAGTCATCCAATGAGTTATCCAGACTCCAGAGATGAGAGTTGAATGTCTTGTCTCCAGCAAAGGAACAAGAGAAGCATGGCTGTATTAAATCTGGTGCCTTCAGAGGTCAGAAGAAGGCATTGGATGTCCTGGGACTGGAGTTAAGATGGATGTGAGCTACTCTGTTGATGCTGGGAATTAACCTGATTCTTTTGGAAGAGCAGCTAGTTCTCTTAACCATTGAGCCATCTTTCCAGGCCCTAGGTTTTTTTTTTTTTTAATTACACTTTATTTATGTGTGTGTATAGACATTCATGTGACACTCAGTGCAAAGGACATATGGTTGCTAGGGATTGAATTCAGTCATCAGGTTTGGCAGCAAGTACCTTTAATTCCTGAGTCATATCACCAGTCCATTGTTTTTACTATTTTTAAGGCTTGTTCCTGCCTCAATCTCAAACCTTTTAATGTTAAATGGAACACTGGCCTTTTATATTGTATAGTATTTTAAAATATCATTCACAACAATACCATATTACCAAATCATTTTTATCATAATCAGTCAAATTCCACAACTATACCATGACAGAGATGGACAATTAACAATTTGTAGATGATAGCTTCAGACATCAGGTCATGGAGTAGTTACCTTTCTCTTTGTTCGCTGTGGATTTGGTGTGTTTTTCTTCTGAAAGACAGAAGAGATCACTCATGTGATGGCTCCCAAGGTTTATTCCCATTTTTATCTCAAATATTTTGATGCTTAAACAGCCCTGGCCTCTTATACTATGCAAAATCACAAGCACTGTAGAACAAATTCAAAATTGGTTAAATCCAAATTAGTCAGTTTAAAAACCTATAAGGGTATGGTGATGGAAAACAAACAATTTGTAGACAATAGGCCCAGTCATCACAGCAGGAGGTCTTGGGATAATTACCTTTCCCTTCCTACTTGGTGGGCTTGGTAGTGCTCCCCTCTGAAAGACAGAGATAGAGATGTTAATAATGGAGTGGGTCTTTGCTTTTGTTTATGAGCAAGGTATTTCTAACTGCCTTCTAGATATATCTGTCTGAATGTACCATCGTTAAATACAAGGTGTCTTCATGGAAATTACCCCCATGTGCCCGGACACCCCTCACCCCCCCCATCCCCTCACCCCGGTAAGTCAAGGAAACATCTAGACCCTGTTCTTCTGCCCTGGTGATTTTCAGAGTGAGCTCAGGCAAGGGATGCCACTTGATGGCTCATAGCTTCCTGACACACTGACAGCTGGTTTCTCATGCTCTCCTTTCCCTGTGCAGAAAGTCCCTTTCTACACTTTATCAGAACTGTCCTCTATGATCCATCTCAGTGAAGACTGTTCCACGACAGTTTTTAATCTGAAACCCAGAAATAGCCATGCTACCCCTTAGCTGCAGAGTCGTTACCTGCAGTCATCTCCCCTCACAGTAGGACTACAGGTAGGGTATGAAGGGGCAGCCTTGCCCTCCCTGGCTAGGGGCTCACACCATACTCCTTATGGCTTTAGATGCAGCTCAGTTGATACTGGATGAGCAATTTTTTGCTTTTGTGTGTGTGTGTGTGTGTGTGTGTGTGTGTGTGTGTGTGAGAGAGAGAGAGAGAGAGAGAGAGAGAGAGAGAGAGAAAGACACAGGGAAAGGCCATCTGAGATGTGTGACAGAAAGATCAGTGTACCCTAAGTCAAAAGAAATGGTTCAGCTCCCAGGGAAACCTCCTGAGTGTCCCAATTCAGGGGTAATTATAAATGGAGAGCAAAGAACTTATTTCAAAATTGTTTTCCTGTTATTTGCTCTTGTTTTTTGAGTAGATGGAGTTGAGGAAGCTATCACTCTATAACCTAAGCTGTCCTGGAACTCACTACAGGGTCTGGACCAGCCTGGAGCTCTGAGCAGTCTCCCTATCTCAGTCTCACAGCGCTGGGATTAGAGGTTTGGCCACCACACTCAGCTATTCAAGAGCAAGTGTGTGAGACCGGGAGAAGTAGTGCAGAGCACTCTGTAACTCAGGCATCCATAGGGGCGCCTTATTTTCAGGCATGTAATCATCCATCATTTTCATCACTGACCTTCCAAGTTTAAATTATAGTTAAATTTAATTTAAATTATATCCATGCCAACAAATTTTATGTAATGAGTCAACAGTAAAGTTCAGTCCTTTCTCCTCCATCCAAAGGATGCAAGTTAGTGCATTTTAGAGGACTCAGCTGTAATGTAAACCAGCCAAGGGAACACCTGAGTGGCATGCTGGCAACCACCCATGCCATGGAACCTGGCTAAGAAGAGCCATGATGGTATTGTGGACACAGTCATTCTGCTAATAGCTGATACCAGTAAGTTATGACAGTTAAAGCTACTGGTCACACTGAAAAAGCTGCTAATCTGTTGTCTTACCCCAAAATAATGAAGCTGCCTGTCACATAGAAGCTTTTAATCCACTGTCTTACCCAGGGACCATGGAAGCCATCTGCCACCAGAATACCTCTATCAGTTCTTTCAGGGTCCATCCATAGGAACGTATGCTCTGCTTCCAGTTCTTGGATTGTTCACGCTTTCCTATGATTTCAAACTCCCTGAGAGCAAACCATTCCCCAGCCGCATTCCGTATGCTCTTAACATGGATGCCTATAAATGTAAAATGAGACTTTCTCCATCAATTTTGAAACTGCTGGGCCAGTTTTCCTCCACCCACTGCGTCCCACAGCAGCTTAAGAAATAACCACTCAGAGACTTAATATAAATTTATAATTGTTTGGCCATTGGCTTAGGCTTCTTACTGGCTAGCTCCCTCCTAATTATTAACCCATTGCTGTTAATCTGTGTATCTCCAGGCTGTGGCTTACCTAGATGATGTCCTGGTATCTTGCGTCCCATGGTGACTGTCCTTTGTCTTTCTTTCCCTGCCTTTGTTCAGAATTCCTGCCAAGCTAAATTCTGCCTGTCCATTGACTGAAATGGCTTTATTCATCAACCAATAAAAGCAACACATATGCAGCATACACAAGGACCTCCAGCATCATGTAAGAACAAGACAACCTGAGGAGCCAGCTATGAAAACACCTGCTCTTGGCCCGTCATCATTCCTGATCTGGGGCTCAGGTTTAGTCTCAGGAGGGTGTGCATTTCCCTCCCAGTCATCAGGGGCCACACATTCCTCCTGATGGGCAAAGGAAAGAAAGGACTACCTCTGAAGTTACCCTTAAAACTTGTTTTTTTTTTTTTTTTTTTGAGGAATTCAATTATTTTATATGTACTGGTGTTTGTCTGCAAGTTTACCTGTGCACAGCATCTGTGCTTACTGCCCACAGAAGCCAGAAAAAAAAAGCATTGGATGGCCTGGAACTGTAGTTATAGATGGTTGTGAGCCACTATGTGAATGCTGGGAATTGAGCCTGGGTCCTTGGGAAGAGGTCAGTGCACTTAACCACAAACACATCTCTCCAACATTTGGCATCACCTTTAAAAGCATTCTATTGTAATGTTAAAAGATAAAAAAAAAAAGAGAGTAATATCTCTAGAACATGACCAGGACTCTCTCATCCTTTTACCATGACCCAGTATAGGACCAGCTTGCATTTCAGAAAGGGGTGTGAGGGAAGAAAATTCTCTGCTAGGCTTCTGTGAATCCAGCCACAAGGAAGATGTCACCACAGCTACTTCTATGACATTCCACTTCCAGTTCATGGTGGGGGCTTATTTCTCATACTTTAGACTCATGCCATTTGATGTTAAAAGTGGTTTTAGAAATGTTATCTCCAGGGAATAGCTACATTACATGTAGGCAGTCTAATCATAGGGGAAACACTTATTACTTCTTTGTTTGTAACAAAAGAACTGTACTGGGGCCAGGGAGATGGTTCAGCGGTTAGAAGCACTTGCTCCTTTGCAGAAGAGCCAGGTTCAGTTCTCAGAGACCACACGATGGCACACAGCCATCTGTACTCCAGCTCTCATGTCCTCTTCTGGTCTCCACGGCTGCCCGGCACACTCAGTGCATAGACACATATGCAGCCAAACACTCATAGTCAGAAAATAAAAATCAACCTGAAACAGAGACCTGTGCTGTGGGAAGGGAGGACAGTCGTGACAGATGATGACCAGTGGTACTGTGACAATTGTCATTTTCACAATATTTAATGTCTGTTGTCTTTTTTTCTAATAGCAACATGGCAAGAGAGGTTTTATTCCCATTTCCTAAGGGGAAGTTCACATCTGAGAGACTGATGCAGACGACAGAGAAACTGACTTGTGCTTGAGCTGTGGTCTGAGCGCATCGCCTCCAGGGTTCAAATGTTGAAAACCTGGTGCCTGACATCGTGGTGTGTGAGGTGGCATTACAGCATCGAGGGTGCTGCCTTGGGGTTAAGATAGTTCTCCTGGGACTGTCTGGCCTCCTGTCTTATGATGACATCTCTTCCTCCTACATGGCATGCCCCTGCCAGGATGCCACCTGCCGCCAGTCTCTCGCCAAAGGCCAATATATGAGGCTGCCTGATCTTGGCCTTTTAGCCTCTAAGTTTACGGAGTAGCCTGACTTGGATTTTCAATAGAGCAAAGAACACTGGACTAATACAACAAGAAAGCTGAAGTTTGAGTGCATTCAAATTCCAATTCAAAATCCTGTTTTTTCTTACTTAGCCTAAAGTTTGGCAGAGGTTACAGCTAATGGACCCACAAGGTTTAGTGCTGACTTTCTCAGGCATATCATTTCCCATTCAAGTGTGCTAGTGCTTACTCTGGTGTGAGATGCTAAGTGGGCATCTCATTGGCCTTTTTCACGGTGGGAAGAGGAGGCTACGTATGGATGTGCGATATTTAAATACACACAACTGCAGCTTTGGGCACAGCTCAGTGATAGAGTGTTTGCTTCACATATGCAAGGCCCTGGGTTTAATCCCAGTGCTACAGGAGAGAGGCAAAGAAAGAAAAACATGGGAAATGCCCTCATTCCTGCTGTCTTCCTGGGGTTTGGTGAAGAAAACAACAAACATGATAGGGCCGAGGCTCTCCCGAGAAATACCATCAGGCATAGTCAGCCTTTGGCTGGAGTCTGCGAATGTGCCTTTGGGGAGAGAGAGGTCCTGTCATTCTCAGAAACACAAGAGTAATATCTCCATGCTGAAAGTATTTACAAACAGTTCAATTCACACACAAGACCTGCTTTCCTCATGGGTAGCTGGATTTGGTGTGCGCTATGGAGAGAGGTACCTACATAACTCATTGCTGGTAGAAGCCCTTGGAAGAAAACCTTCCACACTTTTGTACCTGGGGTAATTAGTTGCACTCAGTGTGTCCCCACTAGGAGCGTAATATCAAAGGTTTCTGGGTCCTCTGGGCTTGTCCTCATGCCCCCTTCTCATCGTTAACCTGGCCTCTCTTTAGCTTCAGTAATGGGGGTAACATTGCCTGTATCCCAAGGTCGCAAACTAGGTCTGGGATGAGACACTCCCAACACAGGAGCCCAATCCCTACATGGTGCCATTTTCCAGGCGAAGAGCACATAAGGTTTAGAAACTCACCTTCCTCAAATTTATTTTTATACAGAATCCCCTTAGCAATACCACAGGTCACCGGAAGCTCAGGGCTGCTGAAATCCACATTGTGTTGTCTGGGAATTCTCGGACCTGCAGGGACACATTCACTTTATTCTAGAACTGTGCACCACCTTTCCTCCACCCACTTCAGTTTCTGCAGCTAAAAATGCACTGGGTTTTCCCATGAGGGTGTTTACATTTAAACATCATGGTACTGAAATGGAATCTGTTATAAGTCAGGTAAAGCATGGATGACACTGGACGGTGGGAAGCATGAGGAGAGGGTAGGGGTGACAATGAGTTAGCCCAAAACGGCTGACACCAGATGTCGTCCGGAGACCCCAAAGTAAATAGTGATGTCATCTCTTAGATAATGAGTTCTGACAGAGTGCTACTTTTGTGTGGTCTGTATCAATATGGCTTTGAGGTCATCTTTACCTACTTGCCTGCCTGTGTATGTCTATATGTAGTCCTTATGCCTTCCTTCACTCAGTCTGCCTGCCTGTGTGCCGCACATGCCTGGGTGCCTGCTGGTGCCTAGCAGCCCGGGTGCTAGTGCATAAGTATGTCTGTCTCATTTGCCTGCAGCTTGTCAAACCCTTTCCAATATTCCAGCCTTCCAAGGCCATCCTCTTCCTGGCATCAGAGCATGACTCCCAGAGTGCATGGATCCAGTTCCATTGAACCAGTTGCTGAAGGCCTTACAATGAACTTCCATAGTGGTGGCTCTGCCCTCCCAGCCAGTTCAGAGATCTATCAAAGACACAGGGGCTGTAACATGGATGGAGAATTCCAAGGTCGCTTCAGTGCAGTCTATCAAAGCAACAGTGGCCCTGGCAGGTGTCTGTGTGCAGGTACCAGATATTGGAGTTACAGGAAGTTATGAGCTGCCATGTAGGTGCTTGGAATTGAACCGGGATCCTCTGAAAGTGCAGTCAGTGCTCTTAACCACTGAGCCATCTTCCCCAGCCCCTCCTATATCCCATCTTTACAGAGAGATAAATTGAGTTAGAAAAGGGCAAACAACAGGCTAAAGGCACACAGGATTTTAGGAATTAGAGCACTGGTCTTGTATTGCCATCAAGATCTGTGTGTTTCTGTGGCTTTCCATGTGGACATGGAAAAGGTATGGTAGATATCATGTGGATCACATACTTTACCTTCTCCCTCGAGAGTGGTCAGCACATGAGGACATATGCAGTTCTGGATCCCTCCCAAATCAACTAACTAATCTGGGTTGGGAGTTATCAGCAATCTGTATTGCTGTTGAAATTGACCAGTACTGATGATGATCTTAAGATTTGTTAGTGCTTTCAACAGCAAATCAGAAAACTAGTTTGTCACTCACCAAACAGAGTGCATAGTAAGAACTTCATCAACATTTGTTGCAGCACTCTGTGAACCGCCTGAGGTGCCCACCATGGAGGAGTAGGGAGAGAAGCTGATTTGTGTACACAGTGGTGTTTTATTCAGCCATAAGAAATCATAATTATGACATTTGCAGGAAAATGGATACAACTGGAGATCATTATATTAAAGAAACTAAGTGAGCCTCAGAAAGACAAAGGCATGTTTGCTCTCATCTTTGGCTCTTACAAATTTGTACAGAGACACAGATAACAAAAAGTAGGAGCAAATTTGTCTAGGAGACACAGAGGACCAAAGGGAACGGGGAGTGGAGGGCCAGTGGTACTGGTGGAATATGATCAAAGGACACTTCTTATTTGTATAGAAATGACTTATTTGTATAGAAATAAAAACAAACAAACAAACAAAAAACCCCAAACTAGGGCTAGGCATGGTGGCCATGGCTTTAATCCTAACACCCAGAAATCAGTGGCAGGTGGATCTATGAGTTCAAGGTAAGATTCTTTTACATAGTGAGTTCCAGGCCAGCCAGGTTTGCATAGTGAAACCCTGGGTCAAGAACACTTAATATTTGTATTCATTGCTGGGTGTTGGTGATGCACGCCTTTAATCCCAGCACTTGGGAGCCAGAGGCAGGCAGATATCTGTGAGTCTGTGGCCAACCTGGTCTACACAGTGAGTTCCAGGACAAGTGCCAAAGCAATACAGAGAAACCCTGTCTCGAAAAACCAAAAAAGATTAAAAAGAAAAAAAAAAAAGATTCTTATTCTTAAGAGTTGATAAATCACATTTTTGTTTACCTCTTTTTGTGCCTCTTTGTGAAGAAGAGTTGATACGCCTCAGTGTGTAACCTGCGTAAACATCACACAAGTCTCTTATTTATAACACCACATTGCAAGCAACATTTGACAAAAAACACCATTGAAAACTAACTTTCCTGAAGTCTGCTTAGGCCACATCCAAGGTCTTGTGGTCCATGATTTCCTTCATAATTCCTCAGATTTTTCAGTCATATTAGGAAGCATCCACAGACTATATGTAAATAAAATGATGTGTTCTAGTAAAACTATATTTATAAATAACCAGCAAGCTAGGTTTTCCCTCTGGGCTGTAGTTTGCTGACTTCTGTTCTAGATTTAATTATAAAAGATGGTAATTAGCAGAGATTATGTGTTGACTAGCTATAACACGCACCAAAAGAAGTCATTTCATGATTAAGACTATAATGGCCAAATCTACTGGAATGTTAAAGTTGGGGAAGGCTGTTTGTTCCTTCTCAGACTGTGTCCACAACTGGCATCACAAGGCAATGCTTTAGGTAGTGTAGACCCTGGAATAAAACTTCCATGTACACAGTCAGAAGTGCCCCTTCCTTTGATCAATTCATGTCTAGCTAGTACTGGGAAAGAATTTTGCCTTAGTGAAATGTAAGGAATTCTTGAGATCAGTTATATTTCATTTTCTGGGTCTTGGTCATAACAGTTACTCAGAGCCTTAAAAAAAAAAAATCCCTGTTGAGATATGAATGGCCCCATGAAATCTACTGATTTTTTGTTTGTTTGTTTGTTTTTGTTTTGTTTTTTTTTTTCAAAACAGAGTTTCCCTGTGTAGCTTTGGAGCCTGTCCTGGAACTAGCTCTTGTAGACCAGGCTGGTCTCGAACTCACAGAGATCCACAAGCCTCTGCCTCCCAAGTGCTGGGATTAAAGACGTGGACCACCACTGCCAGGCTCCTGTTGATAGATTGATACAAGGTTTCGCTGTGCAACCAAGGTTGGCCTCAAGCTTGCAATCCTCATGTCTCTGCCATCTTAGTCCTGAGATTTGCAAAGGTGAGCCACTCACCCAGCCCATGAGGTATGTATTGATGAGTGGCATCCTCAAAACTGGAGTGTTGCGCCTCACCCATTACCCTTAGTGAGCTAATTAAGATACCATGGAGATATAAGGAATGAGAGTTTCCTAGATTTGCATAAAAGAAGAATCACCTTGTTTTTTAACCATGTTTCATGAAGCAGGTAAAATAGGAGGAAATGAACATGTCAAAGACATAGGTAAATCTTTCTTACCACCTCTTGTTTGTTCCCCAGAGCAAATTAATTGATCAGTGTCCAAGAATGTGATTGGACCAAATTTGGCAATAGCTGTGTGGTGGGTGGGGGTGATGGGTTATTCACACTGGGAAAGTGCTCAGTGAGAGACACCACCAATCAGGATGCTGAAGTTCTAGATATGTCCAGGGAAAACTCCCTTCTCCCTCCTTCCTTCCCTCTACCCCATGGTCCCATTGGGAGCCACCTGTGTTCTGGCTGCTCTTTCTATTCACATAAAGTGACCAAGCTGGAACCAGGTCTTGGCTGTAGCCCCAGTGTATTCCAGAACAGCTCAAGATGAGTTGTGTGGGTTCTGCTCTCAGTTTCTCTCGGTTTAGACCTTCTTGGACTTGCGAGCTAGCTAGTCCTCCTTTTAATCAAAACCAATTGAAGGCAAATAACTTAAAGGCAAAGAAACAGAAAACATTTCACTCTGTCCCAGATCACATGTGCTGGTGGTCTGGCTCCTACTCCCTGCTGCTATACTGCACTTGGGAAGTAAAATGCCTGGGTGGAAGTAGGGCTTAACTATTCTTGGCTCATCTACTCATAATAGTCACCTAATAGTACTAAAACTGTAAGCAACCGCTTAAAATACTAATTCAGTTACAACCACCACATGCTATTCGAAATAATTTTGTTAATAGTACTCATCATTCTAAGAGAGAGAGGTTTTCAGGGTATGAATCTTAGGCTTTCTCTGAATATCAGCAGGTGTCTGGATGTCTATGAACAGTGTTATAGGATCCCAAATCTTGGATCAAGGCTCTTGTGTAAGCATGCTGCACAGAGCAAAACAGAGCATAGAAGGGGACAAGGAGTATGGTCCTGCTGGCATTAACCTTCCCTACTCCAGGCCTCTGGAAAAAGTTTCTTTTCTATTCTCTTTTTGTTGTGGTGGTTTCTTTATTTGTTGCGATAGGGTCTCACTTTATAGCCCTGTGGCCTAGGAGAGAGGGTACATTTCTCCGAACATAGTTGTCAGACATTTCCTTCAAGTCAAGCCAAAGGTTTGACATGACCAACACAGGAGACAGGTCTCTGGAGAAGCCAGAGAAAGAGAGGCTATCAGACTCACTTCTAAGTCATGTAAAGATGAAGGTTGTGGCTAGAGGGGGTCAGTGGTGGCTGGTGGTTGGGCTGAGAGTCAGCAAGGGAATTTATGAAGAAACACCATTGAGTAACCCGGAAGGAACTCTGGAGATGGGAAACTTGATGGGTGTATTTGGGAGATATGCTGCCCAAAGTGATAGCACTAAGCTCTTGATCTTCTAGAAGGATCATTTGATGTCTTAATTTCAAAGCAAGTCAGTCACTACCAACACTGGGCACTGTTTCTGCTATACTAATAGGAAATTTATGGCCAGACACATACGTGCATTTGCACATACAGACACATATAATGAGATAGCAGGTTGCGTGGAGGAAGAGGGGGAAAGGTAAAGAGATTGAGGGAGAGGCAGGAAGGGAGGGAGAAAAGAAGGAAGGGGGTGAGGGAGAGAGAACGAACACTCATTTTAGAATACTGATTCGGTAACTTGTCATATTTGAATCAGAGTCTAAGGGGAGACTGTGGTCTCAGTGGAGCAGACTCCTGTCTCCTCTGTGCTCAATTCACTCTCTTCACAGCACTTTTCTGTGTCTGAAAGAGAAGCTCAGGCAAACAGTAGGATCACTTGCAAATTGCACAGGTGACTTGCAATTTATAGAACGCATGCGGTGGGGGGAAGAAGTGAGGGTCTGAGGAGCTGACAGTTGTACAGGTCTTCAGATGGACCACAAAAGGACTAGTTCTTCCTGTTCTAGACAGTTAACCCAGGAGCCAGGGAAGATGCCCACAGGTCGGAGAGGCAGCTATCCATGGTGCTTACCAAATTGCACGGGAAGTTATGGACTGTAAAGTCACCCAAAGAGTTACTTAACTTTACAGACAGTCCAACTGAGGCAGAAGGGAAGAAGTGACAGACTCGGGTCTGTACAGTGACCTCGTGGGGTTGATTCAGAGGCGGGGCAGTTGTGTAATTTGTCACTCACAGGTGTTCATTCTGTTTTGCTGTGCTGCTTTTTCTGCTATTGAAAGTTCAGTAGAGGCTGTAGTGACCTTGTATGACCATAGACACATCAAGTCACTTGTCTGTGGGGCTGCCATTTTTTGTCCTTTTCCCCAACATACTTTGAAAACTGACAAAATTGGTTATATTTCTCAACAGTTACCATGGCTACAACGAGCAGTCAGAGAAATGGATTAACCTTTTATGAAGCTTGTGTTCATGGGGATTTTGATGTTCTGAATTAGGCATTTTCCATGTCTTTCTTTTTCTCTGAGAAAGTAGGAAACAAAAACAGATACTTCTAAAAGGTTGCAATGTACACAAGAGTGCTTTTCAGACTTCCCATGTTACTGTAACTTGTAAAAAGTTTAGAACATAGTAAAAGATATACAGCCCATAGCTTTGTAATTACCATGTCTTTGTTAATTATCCTGATGTTTTGGCATTGTGTCAACTTGACTCAAGCTAGAGTCAGCAGAGAGGAGAGAGCCTCAATAGAGAAAATGCCCTCATAAGATCAGGCTGTAGACAAGCCTGTAGGGTATTTTCTTCATTAGTGATTGATGTGGGATGGTCCAGCCCATGTGGGTGGTGCCATCCCTGGGCTGGCAGTCGTGGGTTCTATGAGAAAGCAGACAAAGCAAACTATGATCAATAAGCCAGTAAGCAGTGCTTCTCCATGGCCTCTGCATCAGCTCCTGCCTCCAGGTTCCTGCTCTCACTGCTTTTGATGACGAACTGCTACATGGAAATGTGAGCATAATATACTTTTCCCTCACCAAGTTGCTTTTGGTCATAGTATTTCATCACAGCAATAGTAACCCAAACTAAGATACTCAGGATTACCCTGAATGTCATTTTCTTGGTCTTGACATTGATTCAGTTAATTTACTCTCATGTTATACTAAAAATTAACCCCAGGCAGTTTTGTTTGTATCCCAAGGGACACTGTGAAGATAATAATAATGATGAGAATTAACACGTTAGCACTGGCTGATTGCAGGACATCGATATGAGACTGTCATGGTTTGGACTTTAAATGTCCCCAAAGACTTGTGTGCTGGCAGCTTGTTGTCTAATTGATAGAATTTCTGAGAGTGGTGGAAACTTTAGGAGTCAGGATGAGTAGAAGTCATGTCTCTGAGACAGGGAGTCTTTGCCAGGGAAACAGCACTGACTTCATCCCAATCTCCACTATGTGCATTTTAGTTTTAAGATCCCATCAGCTCAGGCTTTTTAATATCAAGTGTGGGCCAAGCACAGCTCCAGGGTTTACCCATGGTTTCATCTGTGCAAGAACAGAACTTTGAGAGCACCAGGTTTGGAAAGGAACAAATGTGGTTTCTGTTTACTTACTGATCTGTCTCAGTGATTTTAATAAGGCACATCCTCCTGCCTCAGTCTCCCAAGAGGGAGTGGGTGTTGTAGTTTGAATGTAATTGGCCCCCATAAGCTCACAGGGAATGTCACTATTAGGAGGTGTGGCCTTGTTGAAGTAGGTGTGGCCTTGTTGGAGGAAGCATGTCACTGTGAGAGTGGGCTTTGAAGTTTACCTGTGTTCAAGCTATACCTTCAGACCACTTCCTGTTGCCTATGGGTCTAGATGTAGGAATCTCATCTCCTTCTCCAGCACCATGTCTGCCTGCATATCACCATGTCCCTTCATGATAATAATGGGATAACCCTCTGATGAAGTCTACCGTTTGAAATTGTGATCCAGTAGGTAAAAATACAAGTGAAAGGAAGGCCACAAGTTTGAGGTCAACCTGGGCTACACAAACAAGCTTGCCCCAAGGAGAACAGACACACAGAATGAGAGTCCTCATTGAACTGTTGAGACAATTGTTCATATTTTGTAATTAGCTCAAGATATGAAAAAAGGCTTAAACAGCATGGATGAGAGGCTGTCATAGGAAAATAAATCTGTTTACCATCTATTTGTCTATATCTATCCATCCTCCTCCATCTCTGCTCTCAATTTAGGGGCTGTATTCATGTCAATCTTTGTCTTTATCTCTGTTTCCATCATATCTGTTATTTCACCTCACAGATTACTATCATAGTAACCAACGCCAGCTGAAGACTGACACTGAATACACAACCATCTCTGCCAGCTTTGCCAGCTCCCCGTGCTAATTCTGTGCTGCACACCTGTCAGTCTCAGACTTTATCTCCCTGTTTCAGGATAATAGAGAGGTACACCTTTCCTATTCTTTCTCTTTATACCACCTCCATATATGTTATATTCATGCATGTGCATGGAGAGAGAGAGACTGGGCCTGGCTTGAGCATCTGAAACACCCCAAGTGACATATACTTCCTCCAACAAGGCCACAGCCACCCCAACACATGTAAAATATTATATTATGTGATATATATCAAGGATCTGTGTGAGTGCATGTATGCTGGAGGATATATATGAGATTGGATTGCATGTTGAGAACAGGGGACAACCTTGGGTGACATTCTGCAGTCATATACTCCTCCTTTCAGAACAGAATCTTTCATTTGCCTTGGACTTGCCATGTAAGAGAACATGGCTGAGAAGTGAGCCCCAGGGATCCTCCCATCTCCACCCCCTCTGAGCTGGGGTTATACACATATAGCACAGTTTTTTTTCCAAACAAGGTTTTGGGGATCAAATTCAGGAACTTGCAAGCATTTTATCAACTGAACCTTGTCCCTAGCGCTCTCTCTCTCTCTCTCTCTCTCTCTCTCTCTCTCTCTCTCTCTCTCTCTCTGTGTGTGTGTGTGTGTGTGTTAATGTATGTGCACATACACAATGAGGCCAGAAGTTGACACTGGTGTGCTCCATCATTTTCGACATTATTTATTGATGTGTGGTCTCTCAATTAACTGAGGAACTTGCCTGATTTAGTTAGTCTAGCTAGCCATTTTGTCCAGCAGAGCCCATCTCTGCCTCCCATACAGTGCCACACATACCTGGCTTTAATATTGTTGATAATAATATGAACACTAGTTCTCACAGCACTTTAATCCACTGAGCCATCTCCCTATCCCCTTAGATTTTTTAAAGAAATGTTATTAAATATGTTTTATTGGTTATATAAGGTTGGGAAACATTATACTGAATGTTCTGGGTTCCTGACTACCTCTTTGGATTCTGACCGTGGAAACACTGGTTTCTTCCTCCTATTATACACAATAGCCTTTGAGTGAGAAACACATGGGTTGCTAGATCTCAATCTTTTTAAAAAAAAAAAAAAAACTCTTACACATTTATATACTACTTTCCTCTACACAAAGTGGGAATAGCAAGAGATAGTCTGCCTGAATCTTAAGGCTGTTATGATCTTGCCAAAAATACATTGAGATAACATGATATAATCTAACTAGGTAGTGAAGGCTATCTATCAAAAAACTATGCTAAATTTGGTAATGGTTGGTCTGAAACTTTTATTGTGTCTATAATTACAATGTTTGGCTTGTTGTATTTTGCATCTTTTACAATTACAAATGACCTTAGGAACATAAGATCTTTGTGTTAGTAGTATCTTAGTCCGTGTTCTATTGCTATGAAGAGAAACCATGACCATGGCAACTTTTATAATGAAAAACATTTAATTGGGGCTGGCTTACACTTTCAGAAGTTTAGCCCATTGTCATCATGGCAGAAAGCATGGCAGCACACAGGCAGACATGATGCTGGAGAAGCAGCTAAAAAGTTTTACATCCAGATTGGCAGTCAGCAGGAAGAGAGAGAGAGAGACTAGGCCTGGCTTGAGCATTTGAAACATTAAAGCCCACTCCCCAATGACATACTTCCTGCAACAAGGCAACACCCATGCCAACAAGGGCACACCTCTAATCCCTAATCCTAATAACCAAGCATTCAAATATAAGAGCCTATGGGAACCATTCCTATTCAAACAACCACAGTAGGCATGAGAGTGAGTGTAAAAATATATACCATTATTTTGCTATTTATTTCTGTAACATCAGCAATATATAAGTATGTACATTTAGTTGATAGGATTCAGCCTGTTAAACATGAGTTCATAGTCATTTCCTGTCTCCTACACTTTCTAAAATTAAAACGGAGCTCCAAGGATAGCTGAAGGATACACAGCAGCAATGACACTTAGGATAAAATGCATCTAGTCACAGTGACTTTCAGTCATCAGATGGCTGACATCCTGCAGACCAAGGCTGGGCATCCTAATCTTCTACACCTGATCCACTTCATAGGTATTCCTGAGATTCCTCCAAAGCACTCATTTCAGAAGAGGAGCTACTGTATACTCCTGCAGGAAGAAGGAAAAGTCCTGACAGTTCCAGTCTTAGGAACCAATCTGGCAAGATTCTTGATTGGCAAAGAGGGCTGGGGAAATGGCTCCATCAGTAAAGTGTTTGCCACTAAACATAAGGACCTGAGTTCAGATCCCCAATACAGCAGTGAGCATCTCACCAGCCACCCTCATGTATCAGTTAGTTCCAGGTTCAATGAGATGCCCTTGTCTCAAAATCTGAGGTAGAGAGATTAAACATGATATTTAAAATCAACTCCTGGCCTCTACACAAGCAAGGGAACACACACTTGCAAACAGCAACCTGCATCAGTGTGTGGGAAGGCTCTAGGATGGATGGGGAGGAACAGTCCTGCCAGCCTGTGATGGAAAGGGATGGGTAGGGATTGGGATAATCCTGCAGCCTATGTGGGAAGGATAGGACAAACCTGCAACCTACTGGGGAGGCAAAAAGACAATCCTGTCAGCAGGCCAACCTTGCCTTTATCTGAGCTGTCAGTTAAACTTGTTCCAGAACTGTCCCTAGTGCTGGGGCTGAGGCCAACTTTGCTATGGTGGTCACTCTCTTCTGTGATCATTTCTTAGATCTCATGCCCTTTCTGAGATTTATTGTGCATGGTGGGTGACAAAACCAGTCTTTAAGATCTCAGGGCCCTAGATCATGTGAAACAAAGTGAACTCTCCACGCAGGATCAACTCCATCCTTTTTTCTTGGGTGAAAAGTAAGCTTGTACTTATTGAATATCTTGAGACCTGTGTGCCATACCCAAATAGCTTAAACTCACCTGAACCAAAATGCTCTATGTGAATGGTCTAATATCCCAGGCTAATGCTTTTTCACTCTGAAGGATATTAACTAAACTTTAGTTACAGAGGACATGGCTGCTTCTAGGTATGGTTGAGGAGGAGGAGGCTTATTATACAAGGAAGATATTATGGAATAATCTTTTTTTTTTGTACACCGTGAAGATATGTCTTTGCCAAGGTGCCTTTTGACTGGTTTAATAAAAGTTTTGACTGGCCGGTAGCTAGGCAGGAGGTATAGATGGAACAGCCAGACAGCCAGACAGCCAGACAGCCAGACAGCCAGACAGCCAGACAGCCAGACACAGGATGCTGGGAGGGAGAAGGGCAGAGCCTCAAAAGTTGAGGGAGATGCACAGCCACATTGCAAAGGGTGAATAAAAAATATGGGTTGATTTAAATGTAAAAATTAGCTGGTAACCAGCCTGAGCTATTGGGCCAGCATTATATTTATAAGTTTCTGAATGGTCATTTGCTGAGACACAGAGAAACTCTGCCTACAGGAAGAAAACAGCTAGAAGCATCTGGAAGGGTCCAGACTGAACCAAGTCATGGGGTTGGGGTAGGGTGGGGATGGGTGGAGATCCAGAAGTAGAGTCAAGCAGTGGCCAAGAGACCAAGAGAGCAAGAGACCGAGTGCCCAAGATGGCTAAGCTTACATAGAATCAGAAGCTTGGGGGGGGGGGAGCGAGGAAAGGAGGCGAGACGGCCTGGGAGGAGCCACAGGTCCTGAGTGAGACTTGTCCTGGGTTTCTTTGAGACAGTGTAGATTTCTTTTTATTTAAAAAAAAAATGTCCAGATGAGAGAATGGTTTCCCAGGTGGCCGGTGGTATGCTGTGCTGTGTGGTCAGAATAAACCACAGCAGAGAGCTTTCAGACTCTGATGTCCTAGAGTGGAGATGAGCCAGCCTTATGCTTTCCCCGGCTCACTGCTCAGTACTGAGCTCCAGGATTCTGAAAGAATCACTTTCTTTCTTTCTTTTTAGTCTAGTTTGTTTGTTTTCAAGATAAGTTTGGCTGTCCTGGAACTTATTCTGTAGATTAGGGGGGGGAGGGGGGGGGAAGAAAACCTGTGGGGGGGGAAAAGGGCTCTCTTTCCCCCATGGCATGATAATAGAATGTTCATTGAGGGTAAAAAGTTGAACTTCTATTAAATATTAAAAGGCATTTACTATGTGAAATCACTAACTCCTTTGGATTCATCCATTATAGCAGTTACCCTGCCTGATCAATATAAAAGCAAAGGAGTAATTACCTAAACTGAAAAGCAAATTTGTGTTGTATTTTGAAATCTAGAGCCTACAAGAGTGAATCTCTTGTTGAACACACAGTTCATCTGTCTTGAGGAGTCCACATTTTCTCTTACCTCTTCTCCTGAGTGTTTTTCTGAATGTGAAAGTTTTCCTGGAATCCACAGACTCTGTAAGATAGAAGGGAGAAAAACCATTATTTGTACTCAGAGTCAAGTTCTGTGACTTCTACATCAAATGAGCCTGTGGTCCTAGGACAGTCTGAAAGAATGCTCCTCTTCTATTGAATCTGGTTCCAGAGACTGGGACCTATCCTGGATTGTTTTTCAGTTTTTTTATGGACATAGGTACATGGCTCTTGAGCACCGGTAACTCTGGTTCTCTCATGTATAAATGAGCAATAACCTAGTTACCATGCCTCCCTGTTAAGGTTCTGTGATGGCCACATACTACTTTCTTCTTTAAAATCCATTTTAAAAGGTATGCCAACATCCTAACCATAATTTTACCAGGTATCTGCACTTGCTTTAAAAATAAAGGATTTATGGTAACTTTTTTATTTTAGACGTGATTGTTTGCATGTATGTTCATCACATGCATGCTTGGTGCCCTCAGAGGTCAAAAGGGGATGTCAGCTCTGAAGAGAGAGTTAGAGTTGTGAGTCATCTGATGTGAGTGCTGGGAACCAAACCATGACTCCTCTGCAAAATCGGCCGATGCTTCTAACTGCTGAGCCAACTCTCCAGCCCTTAGGTCAATTTTATCTGCTTAATATGTAATAGCACAGATTATTCTTTGTAGACTTTCTAGGCTAATGACAGATAACAGTATTATCAATGAACCGAGTAACTTCATCCTTAGTGTTCTCTGTAAACTATGAAGCCAAGGCAGAGACTAAATGCCCCGTTTTAACTCTAGCATTAATAGATACAATGCCATGGAGTAAACAGTGTCCTTTTCCTAGTATATTTTTGCTATATTTAATTTTATCTCTTAATTAGGTTTGTCCAGATAAACTATTCTGTGATGACTGATGGGAGATGTCAGCAGGGAAAAACTACTCATAACAGATGACTTTTGACTTTTCAGGCCAGAGAAGAAAAATGCAAGAAGTGGTACCCTAGAGCTGCTGAATCAAGGCTTGTGGAGAATGCTTGGATTACAGTTCGGGACATTACAGTTCAATTTGGACATCGCATAGTCCAGAAGTTGCAATTCTAACCATCTTAACTGGTAATCCACTGTCTTGAGTACAAGGCTGCTAAGGACCCTTTCCTCCCTTTGATTCTAGCATGCCAAGGAGATTGACTACTGTACAAAATAGTACACTTCCTTGGAATCCCCTGGTTGTGAGCAAGAAACTAATTCAGCAGGAAATTCCCTAATAGGAAATTTTAGAAGTACTCTGAAACCTCTTAAAAAGCCTGTCCCCATCCAGACCACATGAGTCTGCCTTTTTAAATTACCAAAACAGTAGGCTAGTGAAACTCCATTTTGATCCCCAAGGCAGATGCAATTTACTGGTGAGGGGCTGCCTGACATCACTTGGCCTTTTTTTCTCTGAGACTTTCTTACACCTCCCACTCATCTTTCTGAATTCCCAGCATCTTTGCCCTTGTGTATCTTTTAGGGAAACCTTGAAAGTCTTATGCTGAAGAGCCTGAGGAGATAGTTCAGTTGGTAAAGTTCTTGACACACAAGCATGAAGACCTGGGTTGGATCTCTACAACCCATGGTGGCTCACACCTATAATCCCAGAGCTAGACAGGAGGTGGGGCATCAGTGAGACTCACTGGCCCGCCAGTGTAGGCTAATCAATGAGATCTAGCCCCCATGAGAGACCCTCTCTCAAAAAAACAAGGTGAATGTCTCTTTAAGAGCTACGCCTGATATTGACATCCAGCCTCTACAAATACACATGGACATGATGTTTGTGCATGCACCTAGGCATGCAAACATGCACGCACACACACACACACACCTACCTGTTTCTATCATATTAACAATGGCTGTCTATATCAAATAATAGAATCCATTGATTGACAAGATTGATCCCCACACTGTATGCAACAATTTCCCTGCAATTCCCAAAGACCAAGTAAAACTGAATGCACAGAACAGGTCCCAGGGCTCCATCACACAGAACAGACGTGGAACAAAACCCATCATGAAATAATGGCTTGAGATTCAGATGCCCACAGCCTGTCTTGCTTTCTGGGCTTCCTTACTTGACTGGCAGATGACTGGGGTGGATTCTTCCCAGCAGTTGCTTCCATCATTGGAATCCTCGCTGCTGAGGACTGCACAAAGAAAAGAATGTCTTTAAGCATCTTAGTGTAATCCGACTTTATTGGCCTTCCAGCTCCCACATAATGACATAGACACGTCTTATTAATTATGAAAGCTTGGCCTTAGCACAGCTCTGAAAACTTAAATTAACGTGTTTATGTTAATTTACACTCTGCCATGTGGCTCGTTACCTCTCCTCAGTACAGTACATCCAATTTCCTCTGCATCTGGCTGGTGAATCCCCACCTCACAGATCCTTCCCAGAGTTCCTAGCTCTGCCTTAAAGTCCCGCCTATCCTCTCCTGCCTAGCTACTACTCATTTAGCTCTTTATTAAACCAGTCATGCATCTTGTCTGCACCCTCATTCTGGTTCTCACTTCCCCACACCCTCACCTGCCTCTTTCACTCCTAATTTGCTCCTTAGCTTCCTTCTTGTCTCTGCCCATCAGTCCTCATCTTCATCTGTACCTGGTGATGCACCTCTTGGTCCTTGATATCTTTCCCTGTCTATCTATTCCTGTGTAGACCTTTGGTTCCCTGATTTTTTCTGTCTTCTTAACTCCTGCTGCCCCCCACCAGCACCCTGCCACATTCAGCTGCCTTCTCTTTCTTTACAAAAACAAACCTGGCCTCAACATCAATTAACCCCCATTTCTCATTTCTGCCTTCAGTTTTCCCAGTCCTTCTGCTAAGCTGGAGGTTCGCTTTGGTTGGCCCTCTTTCCCTTCCTGACTCCCCCTGGCTGCCCTGAAGGACACTGATGGCATGTCTAAGGCCCTTGCCTGGGAACCTGAAATGATGGCTTTCAGTGGTCCTTACCTATAACCTCATCTTCCTGATTGTGGCTGGTCCTTGCTTCGGTCTCTTCACCACCTGAGACAAACAATGACTTTTCCTGCTTTATATCTACCAGATGCACGGAACAAGGATAAATTTGGGTTCCCTGGCTTCGTACTTCTGCTCCTGGGTCAAATTACAATGAATGAATTATTTTCAGGGACTGAGGAGACAGTTCAGGCTGTGAAGTGTTTGCTGTATAAGCATGAGGATGGATCCCAGGGCATCACTGGCCTGTCTAGACTAGTCACCGAGGCCAAAAACGAAAAAAAAAAAAAAAAAGTGTAAGATAACTGCAAAGCATAAGACAGCAAGAGGTTGACCTCTGGCCTCCGCACACATGTTCATACCGACCAGTACACACAGAATTCACATCTAACTCTCTAGAAGATCATTTCGGATGCCATGATTGACCCTATCCCTATAACTTCACTCCCACCCTGTTCTCTCCCTTCTACCCACTGACTCCTTAGAGAGACAGTTGGTTTTGATATTCAAAGACAAAAGTAACCAGGCAAGGCAGTACACACCAGCAGTCCCAGAATTTGGAAGGCTAAGACAGGAGGAATGTTAAGTTCAAGGACAGCCTGAGATACATAGCAAGACCTTGTTTCTAAGACATTAAGTGAAGGAAAAATTAAAATTTAGCTGCAGTATAACATTCATATATAAAAGTGGGGTTTAAATGATTGTAAAGGAAAACTATCATTTGCATAAAAAAGAAGAACCGACACCCCAGAGGCCTCTGGGTGATACATTCTGCTGTTCTAAAGGACATTCTCAAAGTCAACCAGCATCTCCAGTTTCAATACCTAGATCATTTTTTCTACTTATGTAACCAATATAATGGAAATTATGACCATGTTATCTTTACTCTATTTTCAAATATTCCAAACACTCCCAGATTTATATGTGTACACATGTGTGTATATAACTAATATGTATATATTAGTATATATTAATATGTTTGTGAGTCTTTTCTGTATCATTATTTTTGTTGCTACAGAAATAGGCTGACTAATCTGGGCAATGGTGATGAACGACTTTAATCCCAGTGCTTGGGAGGCAGGGGCAGGTAGATCTCTGAGTTCAAGGTCAGCCAGGTGTACAAAGCACAGACAGGACTATGCAGAGAAACCCTGTCTCAGTTTTCAAACTTAGGAGATTACGTCCAACTGTTTCCCCCAGATCACATGGTTTGGAGAAATAACAGAAATCAAAGAGAGCATAGCAAATGCAAGAACCTAAAGAGAGAAGTGTGGTGGGGTGTGGTGTTAGCCAAAGGCAAGTGAAGGGGCAGGAGCTTGGCTACCAAGCGTCATTGTCACAGCACGGTGCAGTCAAGTGCCCAGAGCTGCCGAAGGCATTGGACTCTTAGACATGCAAACTGGTTTGCACTTATTTTATTTTTACTTTATGTAGATGAGTGTTTTCCATGTGGCAGCTTGTGCATTCAGTGTCAGACAAGGTCAGAAAAGGGTGTCAGTGCTGGTGTTGCTGGGGAAAAAAAATGGAGATTCTGTATTTCCTGAGAGGATTGTAAATGCCTACAGCCAGTAGGGAAGAACAGTTTGCAGTTTCCTCAAAAACCCTGAAAACAGAACCATCCTGTGATTAGACATTCCTCTCTACTGCACAGGTATCTCAGAGAACTGAAATCAGCCTGCTAAAGAGGTGCCTGCACTTGTTACAGCTTAGCAATCTCCACCTGTGGAGTCAGCCTAAACAGCTGCCAGCAGCTGGGGAGAATGTGCGGTTCACACAGGATAGACGCCCAGTCAGCCTTAAAATGAGGGAGACAGCGTCAGCGGAGACGGTGTGAATGAAGAAAGAACATCACATGAAGCAGCCAGACACAGAAAAGCAAAAGCTACACGATTTCACTTTAGGCGCCATGTGAAAGGGTCTGAGTCAGAGAGAGTGAAGTCAGAGTGAGGATGGGGGCTGAGGCCACGGTGAACATAAAATTCCAGCCAGAAAGAACAAGCTCAAGACTTCCATTATACAACGTGGCAAGATTAACAGTATATTGAGAGCTGGAGAAATATTTGAGGTCATGCATTTTAAGCATTCTTACCACAAAAATGTATGTGATGTAGCCATTTCACAGTGAATATTTAAAACAGAGTCCTGTCCCTGAGGTTAAGTGTGTGTGTGTGGTGAGGCATGTATGCATGTGGGTACATGCGTGCATACGTGTGTGTGTGTGTGTGTGTGTGTGTGTTATATATATATATATATATATATGTATATATATATATATATATATAGAGAGAGAGAGAGAGAGAGAGAGAGAGAGAGAAAGATGCTAGGATTAAACTAAGGACCTCACACATGCTGGACAAACTTGCCACCACTGACCTACACTCCCTAGTATACATAATATTTCTTTCAATAGTCAATTTTGAAAATGGTTAGCATTTAAAAAAAAAAAAAACAGACAAAGCAAGGCTGTACCAAACACATACAGAGCATCTGAAAATCAGAGCCAGGAAGATAAACACTAGTTACTTTCTTCATTCCAGGGCAATGGGCTGTGAGGCTCCAGGTACGGATCACTGTTACTCAGTTGGACTTCTAGTTCACAGGACTCTGAAGATGGAAAGGCCACAGGTGAGATCTCACAGAGCCTTGCTGTTTCCCAGTTTCCGTCTTCCTCCCTCACCCTGCTGCTCATGTCTTGTTTGTACCTGTAGTCCCATCTGCACGTATGGCCACTCCACCCTGGAAGGTATTTGCACTCTGTGACTCCCTAGACAACCCCTCTGATTCTTAGCTTCTCCTTTTCCCCAATAAGGCTTTTCCAACTCTTCACCTTTTGGGGTTTCTTTTCCAACTACTCCCTCCTCAATAGTGCATCAAGTTTCATCTTTGTCTCTTTGGGCCTAAATAGTTTTATTTATTGATTGATATATATATGTATATATATACATATATATCATATATGTATATATATCAGACCCCAACCCATTCCTCTGTTCCCACTCAGAGCCTCTCATGCTCTGTCTTACCCTCTGGCTCAGAATCTGGTCCTTGACGTGTGGTTGCTTGGTCTTCTGAGAGTCCATTTTCTTGTAAACTCATGACTAAAACAGAGTTTGTTTCATAGGATTTTATTCGCCCATTGCATCAGGATCCAATAGGAAAAGAGAAATCCCCCTGAGCCCTGAAAACAGAGACCCTGCAGCCTGAGCCCCACATAGGGCTGCGGGAATCCTGGACTCTGCTTTCTCTATTCTCCATGAGCTTTTGCAAATGGCTTCTTGCCAGGAATACTGTAGGAAGCTGGCTAGAAAGGGAAATTGTCATGGAAGACAGCAGTGGCAGAAGGTCAGAAGTAAGGGTCAGGGGCAAGCATGGGCAGGGTAGGGAACAAGTCCCAGAGCAAACAAATTCAGGATTGATATTCTGTCTTCTGCTACGGGTAACCTCCCTGATTCATGGGGGATTCTGTCTACTCAGCCCACTGTACTCTACTAACCTCAACGGTGTGTGAATGAATAATACATTATGTAGTATAGTTTCATGTTTTTCATTTAATATTTCCTACACAAATTAAGTTATAGAAACACATAGTTGGAAAGTTATAGAACTCTTAACATGGAATGCGGACCTGTGTTAGACCCCATGTCTTTTGAAGCCATGGGTTTGATTACAGTCCTAGCTGGGTCATGTGTGTTGGTATCCCATTGTTGACCCAATGGCCCATCTCCGTGGTGGGTTGATATTCTGTATATTCACCCATCCCTGTCACTAGCTTCATTAGAATATCATTTTCAGGTTGGTTTGCTCCAGACCACACAGACTCATGAAGAATTCACCCATTTCTCCTGCATCCTTCCTCCCCACTGTATCCTGGTCCCTCTTCTCATCACTAACCACAATCCAACCCGTTCATTGCTTCTTATTCCCACACTCTGTACCTGCAGAGGAACAATTAACAATACAGACTCTTGTATATTGTTATATTTTCAAATGTTAAAAGTTTTGAATGAAATATTGTAGTTATATAACAAATATTTCAAAAGTCACTCTGCACAGTTGTTAAGAGAACTTGCTGCTCATGTAGAGGACCTGGATATGGTTTCTAGAACCCATATGGTGGTTTACAACTTATTATAACTCCTGTTTCATGGGATCTTATACATTTTTCTGGCCTCTGAGGGCGCCAGGGATACATATGGTATAAATAGATAGAGAAAACACACACACACAGCAAAAACAAGTAAATCTTTGAAAGCATTTTTAAGTAAACTGTTAACTTTAAGAAATCTCTTCTTAAATGACATATCCCACCTGAAAGCCACACAGTCACCCTTCCAAAGTGCCAGATATGTGTTTCTAAACATGAGTAATAAATAAAGAAATAAATACTATTGCATAAATACCATTGTCAATCTGAAAGCTGGTGGACTGATGATTCTCAGTTTGATTTCCCTGGATGATGGTGGCATTTCTTCTTTCACTAATTCTCTGGCCTGAGGAATAATTGATTTAATAGTGACTATCCATGTTAAATATCCAGAGAGAAGAAAATCCCCATTTGATGGGATGTGAGAAGCTGAGATTCTGACACAAATGACACTGATAAGTGTATCAGTAACAGCAACAAGAAATGCATACAATGGAGATGAAGCACCAAACACTAGTATGGATGCTCTTCACGATGTCACTTGATGTCCATCTGGAGCATATACCACTGTCACATCCCTTTGTAAGAGATGACAGCAGGGCCGAGGGAGGCTAGATAACCTGTCTAGAATCACAGAGGCAGAATTTCAACACAGACATTCTTAATCTGCCAGGGTCTTAAAGCACTATTAAACCCAAACATTTAGTTGGGTGAAAAAATTAGATCCCCTGAAATGAACTTTGTATCTTGTGAAAAATGGGATGATACATCATCATTTTAAAGTTATTGAGAAAATAAATGCAAGAATACCTGTATCAATATATCAGAAAAAAATTATTATAGCTCATGCCTGAAATTTAGACTATTCTAAATAAGAGATAGTTTTAGCGTTTATTAAATTAAGGAAGGTCAAGGATTTAATTAAAATATCAAAGGGAGAGCCATGCCATGGTATGGCCTTTAATTCGGGAGGCAGAGACAGGTGGTTCTCTGAGTTCAAGGCCAGTTGGTCTACAGAGCCAATTTCAGGACTGGGAAGGGTTATATAGAGAAACCTTGTCTCAATAAAACAAAACAAACAAACAAATAAATACAAAAACAAAACATCAAAGGGCTTTTCCTCCAGTGGTCTATCTTATCTAGAGAGGGAGTTTCAACCTATTATCTTAGTGATGGCATAGAGGTACCATGTAAGAGGTCCAGTTGTGTCATGATCTTAGGAGCTGAACCCAAAGGAAAAAATTCATTACTCCATGGAAGGAACATGGCCATCATACCTCTCTACCCACCTCGGTACATAAAATCAGAGCATGTAGACTGTATCCAGTCAGCCAAGCAAGCAGAGGCAGAGAACTGTGAATTTAGGAATATGGGCAAGACATCCAGAAGAGGAAAACTTTCTAGGCAACCATGAGGACCAAGACCCTGATAATTTGAACCATGAACTTAGAGAAACTACTCACATGTGTGCTGGGTGGGTTGGTTTTGTTTTGTCAACAAAACAAGATAGGATCATCTAAGAAGAGGGAGTCAATTGAGAAAAATCTCTGCCTCCAATTGGCCTGTGGCCAAATATATGGGAGCATTTCTTGATTAATGATTGACATGGGATGGCCCAACCTACTTTGGGCAGTGCCACCTGTTTTAGGTTGTCCTCAGATATATAAGAAAGCAGGCTAAACAAGCCATGGGGAGCAAACTAGTAAGCAGCATTCCTCCATGGTGTCTGGTCCAGTTCCCGCCTCAAGTTCCTAACCTGTCAACCCTTCATGTTGGACTCTAAGCTGTAAGATAAGCTTAATCTTTTCCTCCATGGAGGAAACATGGTCATGGTGTTTCATCATAGCAACAGAAAGCTAACTTGGACTCATGGGATGAGACAGCAATGTTTGTAGTCAACAAGAACAGACCATCAGATGAGGAGGGATCTAAGGGTGACCAGGTCAGGCTTTGTTGAGAAGAGCTGTCATCACGTCCTAAGGAACAGAAATTAGATGTTTATTTCAGGATCAGAAACAGGCTATTCTCTTTTGTCTTTATATGATGCAAGAGTCGAAGGGTCCCTCAAAGCACAACCCAGAGACCCTCTGGAGCTGACAAGTCCCCCCGATCTTTGAGGTCAGACTTGGTGCACGGGAGTAGAGCAAAGAAAGGGTCAGCTCTAGCTGAGAGAAGTCCCACCTGGGCCACTCTACAATCAGGTGGTGACCTTGCCTAAAGGCTGCCTGAATGTGTCCCTACAGCTTCCCTGCCTGGAGGCCTTACCTGAGTTTCTAGCAGTCTTTGGAGCATTTCTCCTCTCACAAAACAGTCTCCCATATATATCTAAGGCTCGTCCCTGCTGGCCTTCTAATGTGAGTCCGTGATCACTTGCTTTAATTTCTTCCCATTCTTGCTATTCCTTTCTGTGTGTTCTCTCTTCGTTTCCCCCACTTTTGTTTCATGTTTTTCATCCGATTTCCAGTACATGGTCGAGAACACAGCTTCCTCACCTTTAAACTTGGTACCTAAGTGATACCAATCCTTGATACCAGCTTGGGTAGACAGTAGCCAAAGCAAAAAACTAGCGTCACAGTTTCTGCTACTGTCCTTTAGACTTTCTGCTCTCTTTCATTTCCTTCCCTCATCCTTTCTCTGTCTCTCAAAGTTCTGCAGCCTGAGAGGACATGGGGAACTCTGATTTATGGCCAGTTGACCAGAAGCAAGAGTCACAGCCTGGAACTTGTACAGCAGCATTAGAAGTGTCTCAAGGCACTGAACCCTTTATCTGAATGTAATTACATCATAAGGCGCCCTGCTGCTGTCTGGAGAGTTGGTTGGTGTGGGAAAACCCCACTCACCGCACATCTGGTGTTGGAGACCAGTGTGTGTAAGGACACAAAACAGGAGCATCTCTCATAGAGTGTTATTTCTGAATAGCCAGTCTTTTTCAACCTGGAATACTGATGTTGGGCTCAGGTTACTTCATTTCGGGTACCAGGCTGACCATCTGTTGTCATGGTTGCTCTGCCAGGGTCCTGTATCCCACTAGAGATTGGTTAGTTTGGATCTCAAGTACAACCTCCTTCCAAGACTCATGTATGGGAGGGCTGCCCCTCAGAATGGCTCTAATGCATTATAGTGGTCCCTTTAATGGGCAGAGCCTAGTGGAAGGAAGCTAGACCACTGGAGGTGAAGCCTGGAAGGACCACATCCTCCCTTTCCTTGCTTCCTGGTCACATGACGTGACTAGCTTTGCTTCCCCCAATCCCTTTATTTGACTTAATGACCAAGCATAGGCCTTACTTAAGTCAACCCATCTGGGCTGAAGTTCCTAACATCATGAACCCAAATAAATTGACTTTTTGGGTAACTGTGTATCTGTTTTGTTTTTGAGAGAGTTTTGCTATGTAAAATTGGCTGGCCTCAAACACACAATCCTCCTGCCTCAGAGTTTTGCGTGTCCAGGTTCTCCAGGGTAATTTGTCCCAGTGCAGGAAAGCTAACACTAGGCTCACACCAACTCTCCCCGCTGCCTTCCCCATTTCTTCCTCCAGTCACACTCTGCTGATGATCACCTTTATTTCCTATTCTCTGTGGTGATAAGAAACTTTCTGCAGGTGTAATTACCTTGTTCAAGACTTAGCTGGGAGTTCGGGTCTCCTCTATCACTTTCGTGGGAACACAGTTTGTTCTGTAAGACTGAAATGGGAGAGAGAGGGAAGAAGAGGAGACTGTTAGAGATCTGTAGCAGAGACAAGGGGCAGCATTTCCAAATTACACATAAAGGAATTTCCAGACCCCCCCCCCCACATCACTCCAACTTCAGTGGGTCCCACATGACAAAGTTCACCCATGATGCCCTGGGACAGAGAAGGCTCACAAGGGAGACTTTATGCTTTCCATACAGAGAGGAGACACTCAAGTTCAAGAATAAAAACTTCGAATACACACTATGAGCGGTGTTCCTCTTCCAGTGTTCAGAGGGCAAGGAAGGCATATGTCAAAACAGAAAAACACAGAGGCAAAACACGTCTTCCAGGCTGTCACAGTGTGAGAAGAAAGAGGGACTTTCCTGGGTAGACTGTCTGGGATCTAGCACATACTAAAGGGAGGCTTCATGATGGGCAAGCTTTAAAGATGAGCAGGATGGGGTTGAAGCACTGTCTCACACATTGTTGATTTCTATTCACATGTGGTACTAAATATCCTGCAACCCACAGCTGAGCTGTCACTCAGGGTGGACGGTAGTCAACCCGATGGACCGTTCTGTGTATCATCATCAGGGCTCCACTGGAGAGACACGGCAGTGCTCCGTCCTCTTCTACATAGCCTGATGCTGGTGGGGCTCTCTGTGTCCTGTCAATCTAAATCCCCAGCCTGGCAGACCTCTGGAGGGTGTCGACCACAGCTGTTAGACACAAGTTTTGTGATGATGCAAAACATGTTAGTTTTTCTTTAACTCCTATGTCCCCAATTGCACTGTGCAGTATGTAACGCATGGTAGATGCTTACTATATGGTTGTTGAGGGGGAAGAAAATTACCATTTTCAAAGCTTTGGAGAATGAGTTCCAAATCAGGGTATGCCCTCAAGTTTTCCTCACTGAACAGCACCCTCAGGACCACCAGGTCAAGTCTCTTCTCCAGCTCTTCCAGGGCTCTGTAGACCACTTTTTGTAAAGGGACCAGGTTTGAATAGGAATCTTGAAAATCCTTAAAAAAAATAGCAGAGAAAATTTAAGTGTTTGCTTCCAAGTCACAGCAGAGCCCTAAGAGACAATTACAGTTAGTGTACCTCGTCCCCTACATACATATCTTCTAGTGAAAAGTTTTATAGTTGCATGGTTACTTCATGACGTGAGTAAATATTTCTCTTTGAAAATACTCGCTATAACTCTGAGCTCCGTCCCTCATCTATATGACAAGTAAGAAGGGCCTCTTTTTGTAAGGAAGGAAAACTAGGACTAAGGGTTAACAATGGGGCTGGTTAGATAGCTCAGTGGGTTATAGGCACTTGCCACCAATCCTGATGGCCTGAGTTCAGTCACTGGGATTTCGATGGTGAAAGTGGAGAGCCAACTTGTCACAAATTGTCCCCTGACTTCCACATGTGCACAGCAGCAGGCTCATACACATATGTCCTCACACACATATATTCATAAGTAAATATTTGTTAAATGCAATATTTTTAAGTGTGGAGGGACTGGAGAATTAGTTCATACTCGAGAGTACATGCTGCTCTTTCAGAGAACCCCGGTTCAGTTCCCAGAACCCACTAACAACTCACAACCACCTGTAACTCCACTTCCAAGGGATTTTCTGGCTAATATGGGCACTGGACACATGCAGGCAAAATACTGGTACACATCATAAAAATAAAAATAGGTTCATTCTTGAAAGACAAACATAAAGGTTAACTAACTTTCCACATTTGCCAAAGCTGTTCTACTAACTGGACAAATCCTGTCCTTCCACTACTACTGACTTGGCCTATAGGAAATGAGGTGTCCATTTCCTCTGACTGTTATCTCTACAGGAGGGCAACATATTCATAAGGCAAAAAAAAAAAAAAAAAAAAAAAAATCCAAAGAGCATGGGGTGATGGCTCAGGGGTTAAGAGTACTTGCTGTTCCTGCAGAGGTTTCAGAATCTTGTGCTCTCTCTTCTGACCTCCATAGGCACCAGAAACACTGGTAGTGCATATAGATACATTTAGACAAAACATTCATACGCATGTAATAAAAATAAAGATGTATAAAAATTGTTCTAATAAGACACTCTATAGGTATTAATATTCTCAGATCTAGGGTTTCAAGATGGATGTTTATTAAAATAAAATGTGCCCACTGAAATATTTTATTAATTCAGTTCAATAAAATAATCCAACAGTATATTAAAATAACTTTTGATTTCTATTTTGTTCATTTCTTTTGTTTAGTTTTAAATGCATGAACTACATGTTGTGTGGTGCTTGAGACATTGCACACGTACGGAGAGGAGAGCCCCTGTTCTGATCTGGCTTATCTTCAGCAATACTCACCCTGACTTCCCCTCACAGGACCATCTCCTGAGGCCTGTGCTTCTCTCCCTTAAAACCTGGAGAGAACACTTCCAGAAACATTTATATGGTAGCTTTCTCTCACATAAAACCCAGATTTTAAACCTGAGTCCAGAATTCTGATTCATAATTGATAACGTTATTATTGTAGCTAGTATCTGTATAAAGTGCTATGAATTCTTTGTCAATAATTCTTTGTCAAAAACTAAGTCCTGGGCTGGAGTGATGCCTAAGTGACTGAGAGTATGTGTAGCTCTTGTAGAGGACCCAGGTTCCATTCCCAGAACCCCCATCAGATGGCTCACAATTACCTGTGAACTCCTGTTCCAGGGAATTTGGAACTTTTTTCTGGACTCTGTGGGCACACACACATATAGACACAAACATGAACACACACATGCATATGCACACACCACACATACACACACACATGCACACACACAAGCAAAGTAAGAAAGGAAATCTTTCTTTAAAAATTAAGTCCAACCTTAAAAACCTGACAGTCATCCAGTTTGATTCCAAGATCTCAAAGTGTAACTGAATTTGGAACTTGTTTACCAGGTTAGGATGTAACAAACTTCACTTACATCATACATTTTATTGGTGATGAGTTCATTGTCACGGAGGAACTCAAAAAAGGGAAATGGCTTTTTTATTGCTGTTGAAATCTTCACTTTATTTTTTTTGAAGTACAGGAATACGCGTTCAAAGGGTCTCCTCTCTGTGTCCTCCTGTTCCATGGACGTCCTGGAGGGAATAGCATGGGAAAATGGTTATCAGGACTATGGGAATACACACTTGGGGAAAATGTACAGTTTTGTATATGAAAGAAAGACTATAAAACAAGGCTTATAAACGGTACAATTTAAAACAATGCTGGTTTGCTGAGGTATTAAAGCTACACCTCCATGCATTCATACACAAGAATGTATCTTGCTGACAGACAGATTTTTGTAACCTAAGAGCAAAACCCTTGATAATGATTTTACAAAATAGTTTACAATGTTAAAACTTGGTTTTGCCTTATGAGTATATCTCAGGACTGCAGCTGAAAACTAGACATTGATACATTCCTCCCAATCTCCTTGCTTTTACTAACATTGGTAAGCTGTAACTGACTGGGTAAACTGTATGTCCAGATTAACTTATTAACTCTCAAAGTGAAGCCTAAACAACATTTGTCTAATTCAGGTATTCTTAACAGGTCATGATCATCTGATCTTCAAACACCTTCTGAGACCTGAGAATATGGCGTTTAATAAAAAGCTTCTCATCATAGGGAGACATGCCAGCTCCTGGCCACACCCCTATCTCCTCGGAAGAAGGATGGTCAAAGAACTCCCACCTGGCAAAGCAAACCATGCAGTGAGAAGCACTTTAAACAGCTGCCAAGACCCTGTCCAGACTGCAAGGACAGGACACGGGGAAACTGCCCAGCTTTGCCAAGTCCAAGTAGGTCATTCTCCCCAAATTCCTACCACACAGGTAAGTTCTTCTGGGCTTTCCAGCTGAAGACAAGTACTGCTTTCCAGACTTCTGTCCCCAACAACCACGGAGAGACCTGGGACAGTGACCTAGGTATCTGGAAAGCTGTCTTCCTTCTTCTTAAATCTATCCTTCTCAGAACTGATGGTGTTTGCTAGCTAGGGTACTGTCAGCCTTACCAGTTTAAGAGCTCTCCCTAACCACCTCCACCAAGGCTACAGCCAGCTTGGTAGCTCATTAGTTAAGTACAGACAGGTGCCAGGCAGTGCTGGCAAGCACCTTTAATTCCAGCACTTAGGAGGCAGAGGCAGGCAGATCTCTGTGAGTTCCAGGCCAGCCTGGTCTACAGAGTGAGTTTCCAGGAGAGGCTCCAAAGCTGCACAGAGAAACTCTGTTTTGAAAAACCAAAACAGCAACAACAAACCCAAGACAAACAAAACAGGAATAAAAGGTACAGACAGCTATGCATTGTTCACAGGCTTCAAGGTACAGGATAAGCAGGTTTCAAAGGAAACGTCAGAGATGCGGTGTTTTAGCATTGATGGATGCGGTTTTGATGAACTGATAAAGCACCGACTACAGAGTTCAGGAGTCCTTAAGTTTCTGTGGAGTTTACTGGCCCCAGCTTTCAGGGGCAGGTTAGCACTAGAGAATATGAGGAACTCTGCAGGCATGCTCCACTCCCTCCTCCTCCATTCACTCAACCTCTTTTGCTCAGTGAATTTAGACTTAAGGTATGCTTCGTCAGACTGAAACCAGGCCGTGAGTAAAGTGTTCATGCCTTTTAACCCAAAGCCATAGCCTTTTGCTGTGACACCAAAGTAAAAATCTGCTCCAGCTGTTTTACAAGTACCTGCATTTTCCTGGGAAAAGAGTGCCAAGCGCAACCCACAGGGGGCCCTCCCAATTTGCCAGCCCCTGCATGAGTTCTGAGGACACCAACTGGGCATGTACTGGCAGGCTGATTTCACCCACATGCCCACTCATAAAAGCTCCTTCATCTCCTGACTCCTGTCCTCCCCACCTCCAGGGGAACAGCAGATGTGATGACTCAGGCACTACTGGATCACATCGTCCCTCGATGCCAGAACTCCAGAGGCAGAGGCAGGTGGATCTCTGAGATCAAGGCCAGCCTAGTCTTCAGAGTGAGTTCCTGGACAGTCAGGGTGACACACAAGAAAGAACTTGTCTCGAGGACGTTTGCTCAACTATGTTCATAGCAGTATTATTCATAATAGCCAGAACTTGTAATCAACCTAGATGCCCTTCAGCCAAGGAATGAAATTAGGGAAATGTGGTATATGTACACAATGGAGTGCTACTCAGTGGTAAACAAACAAACAAATGAAATCTTGAAATTTGCATGCAAATGGATGAAACTAGAAAAAGCCATCCTGAGTGAGGTAACCCAGAAAGACAAATATAATATTTACTCATAAGTGGATGTTAGACATAAAGCAAAGGACAACTAGCCTACAGGCCACAACCCCAGAGAACATAGGTAACAGAGGATCCTAGGAGACATATGGACCCACCTAGGAAGGGGAAAAAGACAAGATCTCCTGAGTAAATTAGCAGCATGGGGGGAGGGCAGGGTGGGGAGCAAGAAGGGGAGAGAGAAAGGGAATGGGGGGAAATGTATAGCTCAATAAAAACAAAGAGAAGAATGGAAGAAAAAGAAAAAACTTGTCTCAAACTAACAACAACAAAAACTCAATGTGGAAAGACAATGACATTTTCAATTTTTAAACATGAGTAGTCAATTTGAAATAATTCTAATCACTCATTCCAATATGAAAGTGAAGTACAGATTTTTTTTTTAAAAGACTATAAGGGTTCCAAGTTTCTGATGAATGGCTGAGAAGTTGTCAGCTAGTAAGCAAGCCTGGCACCTGGAAGACAAAGGCTAGGTAAAGATGGGAACATGGAGGCCGATTATAGAGTCACCTTGGCTCTGAACTACACAAATCAAGCAAGGGTAGGGGTTCAAGACAGATAAAAGATCATTTCTGAAATAGTGAGGAAACAAAATCATTTTTTAAAGTTAATGCTAGTGCAGTCAAGGAATGCACGAGCTTGGACGTTGGAGACCAGGGCTGGAGACACACGGTCTCCTGGACACACGTGGTGGGGTTGTTCAAGGCAAGAGGAGAAAGAACAGTGGGCTGGGCTGGAGAGATGGCTCAGTGGTTAAGACGACTTCACGGAAGAGGAGGAGAAAGGGATTGCAGGAGACACAGTGGTCAAAGACACTAGGAGAACACAGCCCACAGAACCAACTAAGCAGGGCTCACAGGGGCGGTAATCACAGCGCCTATCTGGTTCTGTGCTAGGCCCTCTACACACTCTGTAGAAGTTTATCCTGGGGCTTCCATGGAACCCTAACAGTGGGAGTGGGGCCATCTCTGACTCTTGCTTGCTCGTGGGACCTTTTTACTCCTACTGGGTTGCCTCGTCCAGCTCCCATTTGAGGGTTTGCACCTAGTCTTATTGCATTTGTTGTGCTGTGTTTGGTTGCTATCACTGGGAGGCCTGCTCTTTTCTGAAGGGAGCAGCGTATCTGGGAAAGAAGGGAGGGAAGGGACTGGGAGGCATAGAGGGAGGGTACACTGTGGTCTGGATGCATTGTATGAGAGAAGACTAAAAGAAGAAAGAAGAAAGCACTCAACTCTTGCAGAAGGGGACCTGACCAAGGTTCTCAACCCCCACGTTGGACAACACACACAACTGCCTATAACTTCAGCTCCAGGGGATCTGGAGTTCTCCTTTGGTCTCTCACACACCCACACTCACAGGTATATACTCACACAGACACGGGACCTTCCCTTCTCTCAAAAATAGAAAAGTAAAAATTTTAGTAAGAGGCTAGATACCTATATCAAAAGCTTCTAAAAAAAAGAATATGAGAATAACCTATGGGCCTCTATGCTTAAAAAAAATATAGTCAACCCCCAGAAACATGGCTCCACATTTGATAGCTGCAAAGGAAGTGTCCGGCTGACTCCACCATCTCCACCATCTGCAGCGGGAAAACAGACAAGCTAACAAGATGTTCTAGCATTGTAGGGCATGGAATGCAAAACCAGCCAGTTAAGAGATAAATAGGCTTCGATGGTTTTTCTTCTCAAGAACTTTAATTTTCAATCTGCCTAAAGCAAGAGGGTGCAAACGGGACACAAAGCCTTTGACGTACAGCGTACAGAGAAGTGTTGACTGCCATGTCATTAAAGTTCCTAAATGTCCCCACCTAAGATCAGAGCAGATAAGAGCTCTAGCAGATCATAGTGAAGCCATGCAGATTAATCTTGACTCATTTCAGCTTCTGGCTGGCTAGGGTGATGCACACTATTATTGTTCTTGCCTCACAGAAGAAAAGAGGACTCTCTAAGTATAACACCTGGAGGATCCATGTACTTCACACATAATATCTGACATTCAATTAAAAAGAAAAAAGAGCTGATGGGCAAAGGTGCCTGTTGCTGAGTCTGACACTCAGAGTTCAACCCCAAGTTCCTAAATCATTGTTTTTATTTTATATATATTTATCTTACATGTATGGGTGCTTTGTCTGCACGAATGTCAGTGCATCACATGCATTCCTGGTACCCTTAGAGGTCAGAAAAGGGTCCCAAATCCTGGAAAATGGAGCTGCAGACTACTGTGGACCACTATACTGGTGCTGGGATTGAACCCACGTCCTCTGGAAGAGCAACCAGTGCTCTTCACTGCTGAACTATCTCTTCAGCTTTCTGATTTCTTGAACTTATAGAAGGTTTTAAGAACAAGGCTGGTAAAACAAAACAGAAGACAGAGCAATAGAAAACATCCAGTTGGTGTATAATGAAAAAAAAAACTGTAAATGAAAATAATTCAGGAAAGAACCTAAGAGCCAGTCTGAACGTGAAACTTCAATCCTAGAGAGGTAAACACTGACACACTTACTTGCATGAAAATGTCAGAATGAAACCACTTGCTCTCTATGATGGAAAGATAGCTCAGTGGTTAAGAGCCCTGACTGCTCTTCCAAGGACCTGAGTTCAATTACCAACACCCACATGGTGGGCTCACAGCTATCTATAACTCAAGTGTCAAGGGATCTGACACCCTCTTGGGCCATCTATGGACAACAAACACACATGTGGTACACTTACATACATGCAGGTAAAACACTCATACACATAAAATATAATTAATTTTTTTTTCAAAAGAAAAGGAAACTAATACTCTGTAAGACAATGGAATGAAGGAAGGAGGCAGGAAAGGAGAAAGGAGGGAAGACACAGAAATAGAAGGAATAAGAAAGTAATACATAAAGGGCTGGAGAGATGGGTCGGCCGTTAAAGGCTAGGCTCACAACCAAAATAGAAGAAAGCAATATATGGAGAAATAATGACTGGGGATTTTCCAAATGGACAAATGACATCAACCTATAAACTCAGGAAAGTCTATATGGGATTAATAAAATAAACGACAATAAAAAAAGACAGAATTCAATAAAAATGTAAGAGAAAAATCTCAAGGAGAAAAGCTCAAAAGTTCTTTCCAGAACTCAAGCCATAAAGTATGAAAAGGGGCTTCAATCAGTTGACAGCCATGAGGGCTGTACTGAGGACAGACTCAGGCAACTACTGTTTCCTCTCATCATTATTGAGAAAAACCTAACGTACATGGCATGAGCATTAGAAGAACGTGTTTAAATCATTGTAGACGTTAAAATAGCAGGGCTGGTGGGCGGTAATGGTACACACCTTTTATCCTGGCACTGGGAAGCAGAGGCAGGAAGGTCTTTGAGTTTGAGGCCAGCCCGGTCTATAGAGCAAGTTCCAGGACAGCCAGAGCTACACAGGGAAATCCTTTCTCAAAAAACCAAAGGGGAAAAACAAACAAAACAAGACAAGGGAGAGGAGACAGAGAAGCATAAGACTCAAAAATCAGAAGACTTGAGTCAGAGGCTAGAGAGAAAACTCGGTGGTTAGTCACTTTTTGCTCTTGCATAGAACCTGGGTTGGCTTCCTCACACACACATGGTGGTTCATAACAACCTACAACTTCAGTTCCAGGGGATCTGATGCCCTCTTCTGACATCTACGTGGTATAGGACAACAAGGACATTCATGGTTGTAGTGAGATACTCACTTTGTTTGCACCTGTAGCACTGACCACGCCCATTGTGAGTGGGGACAGGGGCGGATGTTACCTGGGGGAACTAGGTCTGGGGAAGGGGCCCCGGAGCCTTCTCTTGCTTGCAGCACGGGGACAGAAGAGCATCCGGAGGCATCCTTGGCATCAGGAACCTGCTGGTGTTCATCTGTCTAGGTTGTAAGTTATTTCTCCCTGAATAAACATCTATTCCACCTATTTGTTTCTCCAGATTCTTATTAAACCACAATACATGGTACATTGCACATAAATACAGGCAAAACACTGATATGTGAAGAGTAAAATCAATAAATCTAATTTTAGGGAAACAACTTTATACTTAAAAAAAGACAAAAAAAAAAAAAAAAAACCCAGCCATTTTTACATTTCAGGGTCTGACGAGTCTAATAGGTATTTGGAACAGAAACAGAAACAGAAACAAAAGACACACAGGATGGCAGTCTATTACCACTGTCAGAGACCACATCTATCTTCACAGTCAATGCCAGGAAGGGGCAGGCCCAGGCTGGAATTGCTTCTTGATAAGTTCAGTGGTTTTCTCCAAGTTCTGTCAACCTGACTGCATTTTGAAGTGTTCTGTGCTGCTACAGCTTAGGGACAGCAAAAGAATCCCACAGATAAACATAGGATGTCCCAGTCAGTTTCCCATTGCTCTGAAGAAACACCATGACCACAGCAGCTCTTAACAAAAGAAAGCATTTAATTGTGGCTTGTTTATAGTTTCAGAGGTCAGGTCAGAGAGCACCAGAGAGGAAGCTGATAGTTCTACATGTGGATCCGAGGGCAGCAGGAACAGGGAGACTCTCTGGGCTTAAAACCTCAAAGCCCACCCCCAATGACATACTTTCTCCAGCATGGTCACACCTCCTCACCCTTTCAAATGGTACCATTCCCTGAAGACCAAACATTCAAATCTGTGAGCCCATGGGACCATCCTCATTCAAACCACCAGACTCAATGATGTCCTTAGAAACCAATAGGAATCAAAATGAAACCTTGGGCAGGAAACAGCCCAGATTACATCTTGTGGGAAGCTCAGTGTGGTGTGAGCTGCCCAGGTTCAAGGGTAAGCGAGGTGGACTGCAAACCACAGTAAGCATATAGCAAATAAAGGACAGGAGACTGGAAGACCCTGCCTGGAAGGAAGACCAGAAGACATTAGAAAACTATCCAAAAGCACCTCCTAGAGCTCAAGAACTGATGTAAATGGAGGGAAGATGGGCAGGAAGTTAACAAATGAAGCCTACTGAAGAGCTTGCAAAAGCATGCTGACAACCTAGGACTCCGCATAAGATGCATCTTCCCCTCCACCACAATCTTTCTCTTTCTTTCTTCCTTCCTTTCTTTCTTCCTTCCTTCCTTCCTTTCTTTCTTTCTTTCTTTTTTTCTTCCTTCCTTTCTATCTTTTTTGTTTTTATTTTCTGTTTGTTTGCTTGTTTTTTGAGACTGGGTTTCTCTGTTGCTTTGGAGGCTGTTCTGGAACTTGCTCTGTAGATCAGGCTGGCCTCAAACTCACAGAGATCCACCTGCCTCTGCCTCCCAAGTGCTGGGATTAAAGGCCTGTGCCGCCACCACCCAGTTCACAATCTATTCCTTTAAAACTTAGAAATTAGCTGATAGAGAGATGGCTCAGTGGTTAACAGCACTGGATGCTTTTCCAGAGGATCCAGGTTCAGTTCCCAGCAACCACATGATGACTCACAAGTGTTTGGAACTCCTGGGAACCTAACACCCTCTTGTGGATTTCTGGGGTACCAGGCATGGTGTGTTGCCTGGACATATATGCAGGCAAGTGGTCACTTCGACTCAGTAACTACACTCTGTTTCTTTTAGACACAAGACTAATGTCATTAAGCAAAATGAATTACATGGCCGCTGGTTTTACATTGCGAACTGTGGTACTGACCTACATGTCTATCAAAGAAGACAGGTTTAAAACCCATAGTAAGGACTGGCAAGATGGCTCAGTTAATAAATGAGCCAGCAGCCAAAGCAGATGACTTAGGTTGGATCCCCAGAAACCAAAATGCAGAATGAAAGAACCAATTCCTCTTCATTGTCCCGACTCCTGTGACACATGCACACACATGCAAACACAAGTAAACATAAACTATGAAGCTCCCGGTTCATATACCAGTACTCTGAGCAGCAGGTAGCTGGTAGAAAAGAATAAAATAAATGTATGTGCATGATAGTGAAGACATCGATAAGGTTCCTATTTTTAAAATACTTTAAGGCACAAAACACAGAACAATATTATAAAATCAAGATACACATTGCATATTTATGAAAACAAGTTATGCGCAGAAAAGCATAGGAAAAGATAAAAATGCTGGAGAGCTAAGCCAGCAATTAAGAGCACTGGCTGCTCACCCAAAGGACTAGAGTTCAGTTCCCAGCTCCCTTGTCTGGCAGCTGTCATACAGATGTCATGACCACCTGTAACACCAACTACAGGGGATCTGACGCCTCTTCTAGCTTCCAAAGGCACCTGACTGAATAGTTCTCTCTCTGTCACTGTCCCTGTATCTCTGTCTGTCTCTGTCTTTCTGTCTCTATCTCTCTCTCCCACACACATGCACGCATGTACCAAAGCACACATGAATTCTAGCACTCGTACACACACACACACACACACACACACACACACACACACACACACACACGAGAGAGAGAGAGAGAGAGAGGCAGAGAGTAAATACCTTTTGGAAGATAAGGAAGATCCAAGCATCACAGTGGCGCACAACTTTAATCCCAGAACTGGGGAGGCAGAAGCAGGGGGATCTCTGTTGTAAGTCCCAGGCCAGCCTGCTCTACATAACAAGTTTCAGCACAGCCTAGACTATATTGAAAAAAAAAAAAAAAAAACACCAAGAATCCCTGTCTAATATATAAATGAAAGCAGACCCAAAGACTAGAAGCTCTGGGAGGGTTAAAGTGGTTTTTACCCTTTCTATATTTCCACAAGGTTTGACAGCTTATAAACCGCATTCCAGTATGAAACGGGCCTGGTGGTGCAGGCCTGAAACCCCAGTCACTCAGAAGATCAAAACAACAGGATCGCAAGTTCAAGTTCAAGGTCAGCCTGAGACACATAGCAAAACTTTGATTTTAAAATAGAGATTTATAGTCAAGCATATTCAAGGCCCTGGGTTCAGCTGCAGTACTGGAAAATGATGTCTGACTTCCTTTGCAGCAACAGACACAGACTGTGTTATTTCTGAGGAGCACATCTGAATCACCACTGCAGGAGCAGACAGAGCTCTACCGTCTCCTTGTCAGAGCTATCATCGGCCTAGGACAGGACACCAAAGTGAAAATAAAACCCGCAGCTTGTCCTGGCCTTTGCTACCAAGGGCCATTCCTCCCTTGGATCAAGATCTGAGAGTGAGGGCTCAGACCAGGGGTGAGCCTGGGGACAGCTTCCCAGGTGACAAGTCCTGCCAGAGAGGCAGGAGCCCGGGGTGGGGCAGGGGCAGCTGTTCGCCCTGAGCCTCTGCTGTTTGACTTTCTTCCCTGGGCTGACTGAGAGAAAGCAGAGAGGCAGAGGGACTGACAACACCCAGGGCTCCTGAGATAACAGAGCCATGTCACAGAGGTTCCCAGGAGTCCCTGACAGCTGTGGCCACAGTCTGCTCCTGACAGCTGGCAGTGGTCACAAACAAGAAAGTTGCAACTGTGTGCATAATGGCAAGCTGGCCTTGCCCACAGATAGCTTACTCTGTTTTAAAAACTCCAGGTGTTCTCTGCCTCTCTCAGTCTCTCTCTCTCTCTCATCTCTCCTAACTACAGTTCAGAGCTTCTTCATGTCTGTGGGTTTGGACTGACTGAAGCTGCAGCCCCGCTCAACTCAAGACAGGAAATCACCCAGGTTGTCAGAGGGCAAAGTTAGAGAGGGAGAGAGACCCACCTGCTGCTGAAGCTGCTACCTTTCCTCTTCCAACTCCTGCCAGGGGCCTGGGAGGGAGAGCTCAGATCCCTGGGTGTCCTCGCAGGCTTCCAGACTGCGTGGTCTGGCCCACAGCTGAGAGCAGGAAGTCAGCCTGAAGTCTAACTCACCAGGGAGGGCTCCGCCCTGATGGGGAAAAGAGAAATGAAAGTATTTCTGTAATCTCAATGTGCTGCTATGAGACACTGTCCTTTCCTTCTTTCCCCAAAATGTATTGGCAAGGAGGAGGAGAAAGGGGGGGACCTAGAGGATTGCAAAGGGGCACTCCAGTGACAAGCATGGCCACTTCCTGGGAGTAACCTCGTTTATAGGGAGATGGGGGGGGGAACCAAAGCAACAACAACAGCAACAAAATCCCTCCCCTCAAACCCAAACCGTTCTCAGTTACTCCTGTGTCTAAGTAAGCAGAGTTTGTCCAGGATTGCCTGCCATCGTTTTTGGTGTTGTCTCTGGATGAAGTGGCTTGGGTGGGAGAGAAGTGGAGAGGGAGAGGCAAACTATTCCAAGTTATCTCTCAGGCTAGCAGGAGAACCAAGAGCTGAATGTTGACCAGGAGAAGCTATCCCTCAGACCTGAAGAGAAGCTAGGGTGGAACAGGGAGATGCCGCCCTTGAGAGACACCTGGGTCACAGCATTCTCTCTGAGGACTTCTCATTCCAGCTTGTAGTCAAGGGTGTGAGGAAGCTACCACAGTGGCCGTCAGGGACAAAGAACTTGTCCACCCTTCTGAGATGTGGACCTGGGGAGAGATGGGCAGACTGAGATGTGGACCTGGGGAGAGATGGGCAGACGCCTCCAGGGAGTCCTTCTAGGAAGCCCCCAGGGATCATGAGGACACACCAGCTCCCTCTCTCTTCCTCCTGGGAAGACTTTCTCTTGGGAACTTGGAGGACTGGGGTGAGCCTCACCCTGTCAGGTCTCCCAGCAGGCTCCCTGCCTGCACAGACCATGGCTCTACTCTCACCCATTGGCTCAAATGCACAGGGATAGGCTGGCATGGGGCAGGAGTGGGTGTGACTGGCAGCAGAGCCTGAGGCCGTGCCTGAGCTTAGAGTTCAGGGCTCCTTCCATACACTCACATCTTCGCCAGGCCTCCAATTCTACTTCTAGCAGGAATAAAACATTCTGAAGCGTACGGGGGTCTGTGCATGCGGCTGATGATACCAGAAGACAGTGTGGGATCCCTGGAGCTGGAGCTAAAAGCAATTGTGAGTCACCAGATGCGGGTGCTGGGAACCAGACCCAGGTCCTCTGTAAGAGCACACTGCATTCAACCGCTGAGCCATCCCTACCCCTAAATGGTATTTCGATTCCCATGTTGTCTCTTCCTTTTGCCTATCTGTCAGATGGTTTAGAACCAAGGCTTGGGAAAATGATCAAATTGGGGCCATGAGTCCCTAACCCTGTTTAAGCCTGAGCTTGTTTCTTTTTCCAATTTCCCTTCTACCTGTGAACCAGGTGAGTACAGAAGCAGGAAGCCCTGGCAATCCATGATCATGATGCAATTATCCCCAGGCCTGATGGACTCTGGGTAGTAACCTTTGGACTCTGAGAGACTGCTGAGACTGAGTCAAAACAAGTAACAGCCAGACAGACCTCTGCCTAAACATCACAGAGTAAGGTAAGGGGTGTGAAGCTTTGAATGTCACAGTCATCCAACTTTGTGAGATGCTGGGGAGACAGGAGGAAACATGAATATCTCTACTAGGAAGTGAGAATGGGAAGAGATCCCAAGACAGTCCAGGAAGAGGTCAAGGACAAGGACACACAGGAGACCCACCTGGCCATCTCCTGAAGGTCTGAGGACTATCCATGAGAAACACCTTTGAAGAAGCCCAGGGTCCTGATGATGCTCAGGAGGATGCAGGATGCTGGTCCAGGGCCTCATGTCGGGGGAGTCCCCACCCCTAGTCTGCATCACCACCACAGCCCTTCACTTTAGCGTCTGTGTCAAGTGGACAATGACAGAGAGTCCCTGTGTCCTGTATACAGTTGTGAGACCCAGAGACTCTGCAGCCATTGATGCCTTCCCTCCACTGAGGTGACCACACACCACACTGCAAGGCAAGAGCTGAGACTTTCCTCCTTCTCCTCTCCTTATTATTGTTATTGTTATTTATCCTTTCTTTTATATGCATTGGTGTTTCCCCAGCATTTATCTCACTACGAGGGTGTCAAATACACTGAAACTGGTGTTATAGTCAGTTGTGAGCTGCCATGTGGGTCCTGGGTATTGAACCCTGGTCCTCTGGAAGAGTAGTTATTGTTTCTAACTATTGAGCTATCATCACTATCTGAGGGCAGTAGCCACTTTCTGGCCAGGGTACCAACTAGGTCTACACAACCTCCTCAAGGAGGAGCTTGTGAACCCCCGCCTCCTAGTCTGTCAGGTGTAACTCCTAGGAGGTCGGGTGCATAGGGAAGAGCATATGGCCCCACCCACTTACCCCAAGGCAGCTCTGGCAGGACACCATGAAAGGCCTCCCCTTCCCTGAATACCTCACACCCAAGTTTCTATCTACAATATTGGCACGATTATTGACACAGGAATCTAGAATACTCTGGCCTTGTGTTAATCTATCCAGGGGAAAATAAGACCACTGCCATAATTTTGAGCCCAGTTTGAAGCAAGCTTTCATTTAATATGGGACAGGATGATGGACCCTATCCAGGCCCATTTCTGTGTTCCCAGAAAATAACAAAGAGTCACATTTTGCAGAAGCTTAAAAATGTGTCTCAGTTTGCGGAGGCTTAAAAAGGCAACTCCATAGGGCAACTCCCATCATGTCCAATCAGGGGCAAGCATACATCCTGACATATTTCATGCCTACATACCTCCAGACCACATGTGATCAAACACATACATTGCAGTTGGGTCAAACAAACTTGTTTAGAGGATTGAAAACTGTGGCTTATTATGTCCTATAAAGAGCTTCCAGCATTTCAGGAAGTACCTTATTATTGTTATTGTTATTTATCCTTTCTTTTATATGCATTGGTGTTTCCCCAGCATTTATCTCACTACGAGGGTGTCAAATACACTGAAACTGGTGTTATAGTCAGTTGTGAGCTGCCATGTGGGTCCTGGGTATCGAACCCTGGTCCTCTGGAAGAGTAGTTATTGTTTCTAACTATTGAGCAAGGGTTAGAAACGTTTGAGTTTCTAGGATCTATTTGTCACGGTAATTAAAACAAAACATAATTTTGACTGTCACACTTGCCAAAATGAGCCAACACTTCAACACACAATGGGGCTTAGAAGGGAGCTGGGATGAAGATTTCAGGAGAGGAAGCTCCAGTTTAAGGCAGTCCTGGAAGAGGGTGCATGTCAGATAGGAGACTGCAGATCAGGAAGTCTGAGCACTCCATGGAAAGATCTGGCAGGCACTGGGTGGGCAAAAAATGGTTCTGGGGTCTGGGGGCCCATTCTGGGTCAAGACTGGTTGGGTTGGCAGTTACCTACCAAGTCCTGCTTAAGCCAGAACTGGAAGGCTTTGTTACCACAGAGGGAGCACGTGCTATAATGGCTCAGATGGCAAGCAGTCTGTGTACAACGGACAAGGCTTTGTTCTCAGTCAGATGGAGTTCCATTTGCCTGACATCACCAGGCCCTTGGCTTTCTCTCTTCTGAAATTTCCCCTTCACTCCCAAGAAATCCTGGTTGATCTGGGTTTTGTTTGCTCATTTATTTGCTTTGCTTTTTGTTTCTCCATGACCCTACCCTCCAGAAAGTCTCCTACCAAAGTTCAGTCTGCCATGAACGAGACTGTGGCTGCTGAAAGGTCAGGCAGTAGGAAGCAGGAGGTTGATTCTGGGCCAGCTGCCTCACCAGTTCTGACTTCTTTCCAAAATCCCCGAGGCCTCAGGCCGTTCGGGTTTTTGCACAGCATCCAGAATCACTACCCGAGTAAAAGCCTACTTGTCAAGTACATCTTTAAGAACACTAAGCCAAGCTTTTTTATTTCTCATAGAACAGCAGCATGGGAGTCCTGGTCATTCCTGTACCCAGCCTGGTCCTGGAGTCATGAGAAGTTCCAGACAAAGCCATCTGAGAGTCTTCACCCACTCAGGGGACAGATGCGCCCCTGCCCAGTAGCATGAGACATACCCATGAACCCGATCTACCCATGGCCCTAAGTAGTCATAACTTTGGATACTGTGTGGCTATGGAATAAAGATGCATTTTCTCATCTATCATTGGCCTCATATTTGATGAGGCCCAGTATTTGATGATTCCCAGACCCAACACAGCCTTCTCTCAGTCTCCTGCTGTCTATCCTGAGCACATAACTAGATAAGAAATCATAGTCTACCAGGACTAGAGAACTCGACCTAATAGTTTTTGGGCATCAGGGTATTGGGAAGCCTCACAGGGTCATCCCCATGGATGTGTTCCATGGGAACAACTAGAGCAGTTGTTCTCAACCTTCCTAATGCTGCCACCCTTTAATACAGCTCCTCATGTTGTGATGACACCCAACCGTAAAATTATTTCATTACTACTTCACAGATGTAATTTTGCTGCTGTTATGAATTTATAATGTCAAATATCTGATGTGCAGGATATTGGGCCCCTATGAAAAAGTCACAACCCAGAAGTTGAGAACCACTGAATTATAACATATCTCCTGAGCTCCTGATGTAAACTGTTTATTCCCAGTGCAGCTGATACTGAGGAGTGGGAAATTCAGGCTAGGGGTCATTCATGAGAGACCTTGACCACTCAGTTCCCGACAAGCAGGCCCCTCCAGTAGCTCCAAGGACTTCACAATCAGCAAAGTAAGCATACATCTGGGATCTGCAAGCTTGCAACAAACACCTAAATCCCTGAATTCAGGAAGGATGACTAACAGCTTTAGTCTCCTTCATTGCTATTGACTATCCTGTCCAGTAGAGTAGACATCTTCCCTTCTAGAACAATGACCAACTCAGCCTTTGCCTCTACAGCAAAGGGCAATGAAACAGTGATTCTGTTCCAGCAGACTGAGAGTTTAGCTGCTGGCTCTTCATCCTTCAGATTGGCTTAAAGTTGCCCCATCCCTCCACTGGGCAGCTGTGGTCCACCCTGGATGTTCCTCAGATTAGTTTCATCCCTCAGCCATGTTTTCCTCAGCTATCCAGCCTCCCATGCATCCATATTCTAGTGGTACCTTTGGGTGAACAAGCTGTCCTCCTTTGGTGTATGTGTAGAGGGTTTACTGGCTGACACATTTGAGTAATCCCAGCTAATCCTACTGTCTTGTGTGTGTTGGAGGGAGTTCCTGAACACTGAAGTGAAGAGTTATAAAGAGGTTTTGTTGCTGTTGTTGTCTTTTTTAACAGCATGTACCTGATCATCAGGCCATTTAACAAGAAATCCCAGGTGTTTCTGGTGTTAATGCCCAGAGCTATCCTGCTTCCTGGGCTGTTTGCCATCTCAGCACCCAGGCTTCCTGGCCCTTTTCTGCACCATTATGAACTTCATCAGTGATGCCCCCCTTTGTCTAATCTATAAAAATGAAGTCTCTCTGGGTGGTAATGAATCTTGGCTCATCAAAGGATGCTTGTGTGAATTTTGCAAATTTGTGTTGGTTGTTTTTTTCTTTTTAGATTACATACAGGGCTGATCACTTTATAAATGCATGATTAATATAAAGCAAACTATCTCATGACCTACATACATCTAGCATCTTCATGATACAGATGAGACAAGGGCAAGCAACTTACCCAAGGACACAAGGCCAGCCCTGGTGAACCTGAGTTCCCATCCACATGGGCTGACTTCAGAGGCTTTGCTTGTGTGTGCCTATGAGTATAAGCAACTCTTGCTTACCCTACCAAAATTAACTAAAAAGAGCCGACTATAAACAAGAAGATGAAAGGCAAAACCTCAGATATGCATAACATTTCTGTTTACTGGTGAGTGTACCCACTGTTCATTATTAGATAGAAAACAGTGATGAGCACATTTTGCTAAGATAGCATATCTTCTGCCCCGACTCCCACCCGCCCAAACACACACGATTCACACAGCCTTGAATAGTTTTCTTCAGATTGCCAACCATGGTCACTTTTCTCATCTCCTCCAGCAGACTCAAGGACTTAAGCTCCTGGCACCTGACCTTCTGACTGGCTGGAGCTGCCCCTTCCCTCTGCTGGGCAGCAGCTGACTTCTAAAGTTTGTGCTCTTAGCTATAGGAGATGCACAGGACTTGGAACTGTGCAAGGGAGATCCTGGCAACTCAAACCCTGCACTCCTGGATGCTCACCTATACATCACACATCTGACTCTTTGTAAGGTTTATCCCTTAACACCAAAGGTTCCTATGACGTACCAGGTACTCAAAATACACAAAATTCTTGCTCATCAGATTCAAAGAACATATAGTTACCAATACGGAGGACAGCAATAATGTCTGGCAGAATACAGGCAGGTCCGCCCCACCCCCGTGAGTGTGTGTGTATGTGTGCGCTTTCGTGCATGTGTGTGTGTGTGTGTGTGCGCGCGCGCGTGCGTGCACGTGTACGTGTGTGTGTGTGTGTTTTGTTGAGACAGGGTTGCTCTATTATGTAGCTCTGAATATGCCAATACTTGCTACATAGATGAAGCTCACCTTTATCTTCCTCCTGGGTGCTAGAAATAAAGGTGTACACCAACAGTCTTACCAGAGAGGGTATTTCTGAGTGGAAATCAGAATTCACTTTCCACGAAGGTGCACTATACATACAACAGTGCACTGTACATGTATACTGTTATCCAATCCATGCAGCAGTCAATTCTCTTTAACCTATGACTTCAGGTAGATTTTCCATATTAAAGGCTGCACATCTCTTCCGGGTTACAATAAAGACACCAAGTGGGAGACATGACTTAAAGGTTGAGAGCACTGGCTGCTCAAGGGACCGGGTTTGATTCTCAGCACTCACATGGCAGTTAAAAACCATCTGTAACAACAGTACTAGGATCCACCACCTTCATCTGGTTTCCTTGGACACCAAACACCGGCATATATGAAGGCAAAACACCCATACACATAGCAAACAAACAATGCATCTGATGCTACTACAGTTGGCACTTCTTGCTGTTAGCGTTTGCAGACTGTGGACAGATGAACAGAATGGAGGTGCAATGGGGATAAGAATCCTTGCAAGGGGCACCACACCTGTCATTCCCTGGACTGTGCTGGGATGCTGCTTTCACTATTTGTCCCATGGGAAATTTCAGTGTCTACCATGCCTTTTCTTTGGTCTTTGTGAAACTGTCTGCCATTTCACAGATGTCATCTCAACTAATGCTGTATCTACCCTGATCGTACATCTAGGAACAGGGGAAATGGTAACTGGGTGTTTCTGGAGAGCTGGTGGACTCATTGTGACAAGGACATTACCTTACCACTTCATGGCTTCCTCTCAGGAGAAAGTGATAGAGCCTTGCTTTCCCAAATATCAGCCATCAGCTCAGACACTGTATCCAACATCCCCTGAAATAGCCATATGTTCTTTCCCTGGCAGAGGACAATGTGAATAGATGTTCTGAGATCCATTTGGGGGAAGATCTATGAACCACTGTATATACATTTGCAAAGTTTCTTCTACTGAGAAACAAACCTCTTCCTATTGATGGGTTCTGAGTCCCATTTATAACCGGCTCAAATTATTGGGAAAGCTAACTTCCACCATGTACATATCTGTTTCCAATGCTCTTTTGATGATATATGAACAGTATAGCCTACAGGCTGCCCCACTGTCCTGACTGTAGGAACATTTCATCCCATTAGCTGTCTCCTCAGACACCTGCCAGCAAGGTCTCCGGATGTCTCTCAGAGGAAATTACCTTGTCTGGCTCCTGAAGCTGTGAGCCTCCGCCTGGTCTCTGCTACTCTGAGACCTCATTCCCATTGCTACTATGGAGGTCAGGACTGTGAAATGGTCCTACCATCGTTCCATCCTACAGACAGCAGTCACTGAGGAGCTGCTCCAGAATGATCTTGGCCTCAGCAATGTATTTCTTGTCACCTCCTCTAGTCTGTGCCTCTGAGTAGCCCTGAGCACCACAGGCACTTTCCAGTATTGGAGAGTAGAGCTATCTCGCCATTTCAATTCAGTTTGTAGCCTTAGTCGGCTGTCATCATTCCAGCAGCTCTACATCCATTTCATGAATGTTCTGAAGCTATGCTGAACCTGCAGCAGCCACCAGGGGCGGCCTAGAATCAATACCCTTAGCCATCAGCAGATGGATAGGACTCTGGCACACAAGAACACATTGGCAATAGGGAAGCCTGCATGGGACCCAGGCCCTCTGCATGTGAGTGACACTTGTGTAGCTTGATCTATTTGAGACAGCCCTGGCAGTGGGACCAGGACTTGTCCCTGGTTCATGAACTGGCTTTTGGTTACCCATTCCCTATGGGGTGATGCCTTGCTTAGCCTTGAATCAGGGCAGGAAGGGCTTAGTCCTGTCTCAACTTAATGTGCCAGGCTTTGTTGACTCTCCATGGGAGGCCTTACCCTTTCTGAGAAGTGGATAGGAATGGGCTGAGGTGGGAAGTTGGGAGGGGAGCAGGAGGAGAGGAGGGATTTATTAAGAGGATTCAGAAAGTAAAGTCAGCCACAAGCCACAGAAGACAGGCACACACCTTTAGTCCCAGCAGCCAGAAGCTAGGAGGTAGTGATACACACCTTTAATCCTAGGACTCAGGATTAAGAGGTAGATGGATCTCACTGATTCCAAGATCCCCCAGGAATACACAAGATTCAATCAATCTAAAAGAGTCACAGATCGCATGCCTTTATCCCAGCACTAGAGGGATATAAAAGACAGAAGCAGGGTCTTCAGTAGTCAGTAGGAGACATTCATTCTCCAGGCATGCTGAGGAGAGGTTACAGTCTGAGGCTAGGGAAGAACTCAAAAAAGACAGGATCAGCCAATTCAGTCTCAGGTAGAGGTAAGAAACTAGTGGCCAACTGCTTTGCTTTTCTGATATTCAGCTCCCCAAAATCAGTCTCTGGAACTTTGGTTCATGCAACAAGGTGACTCTTTTTTCCAAGACAGAGTGAAGGGATTCTTTAATAAGCAAGTAGATTCAGGGGAAACCCAGTTCACAGTTCTCCCAAATAACTATTTCAATCCCCCAGTCTGAGTGTCAGGAACCTGACTTTGGCACAAGAGACTTCCTAACTTAGAACCCAGTCTTGCTGGAGTTCTGTCTTTCTGAATGTAAGGGCCTGGGGCATGCCTTGGCTGCCATCTGAAAATACAGCTACAGGACTGGGTGTCTCTCTCCCAAGAATACTTGGGATTCTACATCTAAGCCTGTCAATACCTGCTGTCAATCTATTAGCAAAATGTACCAACAGCCACCAAATCCCATCATTCTTACAGTGGAAGCACTTTGCCTTTCTACAGGCTAAAATTTGGTTCCTGTGCTGGTTTAACACCTGAGGACCTACTGACTTCCCACCAATCACCTTTTGGCTGTACAGTGACCCAACTCTAGAATCCCACCCTGAGGCTTTGCTTCCAGAACTGTCATCTTAGGGTGAGGTTCCTAGAAAAAGACCCAGAGTTGAGGCCTCTCTTGTCTTACTTGGCGAATTGTTTGCTCTTGAACCAGGATCTTACTTTATAAGCCAGAGTAGCTGAAACTCACAATGTAGCCCAGGCAGGCATCACACTTGCAGCTGCCCTCCTCTTCAGCCTCCCAAGGACTGGGGCTACAGGAGTGTCACCACACGAATTGAAGTCTTGTAAGCTTGTGGTTAATTACTCTCTCATGAGGGACACGGGCAGCCACATGTGTGTCCCAGAGGACAGGGAGCCAAGCCAGATGGAGACAGGCTCCAGATTAGACCCTTGGGGAACAGAGAGAAGCCATCTGTCACACCCTCGGTTGCAGCTGGAGGCACAACCACAAAGCCAGAAGATGTCAGTGTGTCCGTGTGCCCCAGGGCGATCCTCTGGGGCTGATGGAGTCAGTACAAAACTCTCACTGTTGATTCAGGTAGGAAGACCTGGCCAGAAAAGGACATGGTGCCAGGACACCAGCAGCATCTGTGACATCTGTCAACTGTTTTCATTTGTGTCCTGAATAGCAAACACTTCCTTAAAATTCTTCTCAAACTCAGACTCCAGCTTAAGTCCCATTTGACCAAAATTCAGGTCCTAGAAATAATAAAAAAAAAAAAAATAACAAAGACAAGAATGATGGGACTCATTATCTCCTCCTTCTCAAAACTTCTACCCTCTGGGGGAATCAGTCAACCTCATGGTTCAATCACGTGTAAGGAAGCTTAGACTTGGCTACTTCTGAGAACTGTGCCTAGGAGAATGTAAGAAGCAGAAAATTCTCAGACTGGGGAGGTGACTCAGCGAGTCATGTTTGCCTCACAAGTGTGGGGACCTGAGTTCAGATCCCCAAACCTAAGGAAAGCTGTGCACATCTGTAATCCCAGCACTCCACAGTAATAATCAACAGGTTGCCTTGTCTCAAACAAGGTTTAATGTTAAGAATACTACCCATGGTTGGGCTCTAACTTGATCCTGATGTATACCATGACACACAGGCATCTGCATTCACACATGAACGTACACACACTCATGTATACATACACATCACACATATATACACACACACAGATATTTAATTATGAGCTGAAGAAATGGTTCAGCAGTTAAGAGCATATTGTTCTTGCAGAGGACACAAGTTAATTCCCAGCACTCATGGCCGGCAGCTGTAATATAAGCTTTGGGGGATATAACACCTCTGGCATTCACAGGCACCTACAGTCACAACTACATACACTATGCCTTCACACACACACACACACACACACACACACACACACACACACACACACACACACATTTTACTCTGTATAACGCTGGCTGTCCTGGAATTTGTTCAGTATACCAGGATGGCCTCAGACTCAGAGATCTGCCTGCCTCTCATAAGCTAGGATTAAAATACTGTGCTAACACACCCAGATTAAACATATACATATTTAGTTAGTTAATAGAAATGCATTCTCATGTGTATATGGGAAGGATGGCTTAACTCTCCTCTGATGCTCCTAGCGCCTGTAGACAGGGAATGAAATGAAGTATGAGCCTTTGATTCTGGGGAACGTCATGGAGTCTAGGCACCTGTTAGATCTGACACTGAAAAACAAAACACCACACTTGCAGGTTTCTATTTTGGGGGTTTGTTTGTTTAAGATAGGGTGTCATACTGTACACAACGCAGGTTTTGAACACAAGACAATCCTCCTGCCTCAGTGCATTGAAGGCTGCAATCACAGGCATGCACCACTGTGTCTGGAATCTCAGACTTCTTGCTTATGCAACTTCATTATGGGGAGATGTGGGGAAACTAGACTTCTTAGGTATCAGAAAATGAGGGAAGAGTAACCCAGTGGAAAGAAGATGAGATGCAGCCAGAGAGGGATGCTGACCTTAAATGTGCTCCTGTGATTGTGGAAGATGAGTCTCATGTCTTGCACAAACTCTTCCACATGGGTGTAACCTCTCTCTCTCAGCTTTTTCTTGATCAAGTCCAACCACATAGGTTTCTTCACACCCATTGATGTCTCTCTAAACTGGTAACAGAAATAGCAGTTCTGAGAGAATGATTGGCATGGCTCAGCATTTACCTTCCACAGGACCCCAGAAAGTCCAGCAGAAATATAACAGAGCTGGTGGTCCTGGGGGAGTCAATCACAATCCTAAAAATGTCCCCCACACACAGTCACAGGATATCATGGCATCCAGTGATGGAGGGCTCACCACCAATACTCACATAATAATAATATGGAATCTTGGAAAAAAAGGAGCTCTCAGAACAGCAATAGACACTCAATAGGACAAACTCACATTTCTGCAAGAAAAAAGAGACCCAGTCAAAGTGACTTGGAAAGGCAGAGTCCATACACATGCCCAGGAGGAAAGAACAACTCAAACCCATCTGGGAGTTGAGTGTTTCTTGGTTACTGACTTTGTTTCTATGTCAATGGGTTATGCTGTGATAGCAGCATGATGGAGCGTGGCTTGGAGGAGCAGGCTCCCTTTGGGTGTTATTCTTGTGGCTCCAAAGCTGTTTGTGCTCTTCCAGGGGAAAGGAGAAAGTGAGGGGTTCACAAGAGCTCACCAACTGTTCCTGCGGCACCATCTCCCTCTGTAGTATCTCAGATTCTGGAAGACTCTGTTGGCTTTCTAAGGACTGAATCCTACAGAAGATGCAACTCCATGGTGTTCTGAAAGGTTAGACATGGGGTGAGCAGGGAACAAGACTTGAAACTAGCCACAATCCTATGCCTGCCTCTGTGATTTCAGGAATGGCCGACAGTCTCATCTGGGGAGAGTGAAGGCAAGGATGTAATTATATCACTGGACCCAAGGTAAATGATAAATGGGTGTTTGCTGGGGACAATTACACACACACACACACACACACACACACACACACACTCACACATACAAAGAACCGCTGGAGCATTTCCTTGCTCTTCCTACTGGATCCCCTGACCCAACAGAAAGAGCTCACAAAGATTCTGGGAGATTCTGTTGGCTTCTTGAGGACTGCATCCTACAGAAAATGCAACTCCACAGTGTTCTGAAAGGTTGGACATGAAATGAGCAGTTAACAAGACTTGAAAACAGCCATAGTTGTACACCTGCCTCTGTGATTTAAGGAATGGCTGACAGTCTCACCTCAGGGAGAGGACCCCAGGCTCTGAGGGACCCCATGTAAGATCCGAAGCTGCCAGTACTCCCATCAGGGTCATGGCAGGAGCCAGTCCTTGGAAAAAGTGGAATTTACAGTGAGAGGTGGGATCCACATTTCCCAACAGAGAGTTCTGGGAGCACAGAGAGGCCAGGCTATCAGGTCTGCACACAGAAAATGGTCCTCCACAACTTCTGGGAACCTTGGACCTCGATGGTTCCAGTACGGCCTGCTGAAATGCACAAAGCACCCATGCTCCCTTCTTTCATGAGGAAGCACAAAAGAGAACAGCTTGGCATATGCCCCTCTCAGTGCTTTGGACAAGCGGCTCTGCTGAACAACTTTGAGGAAAAGGCAGTAGCAGTGTGTAGACAGAAGGCCCAGCCTTTGTATCAGGAGAGAAGCCTCCCCTAACAGAGAACAGCACCCTCTTGCTGACAACCAGCTTTCTGCATCTTCCTGTTTGGTGTCTGTTATGAAGAGCTCTTGCTCATCCCCCATTGAGGCACAAGCTAACAATCTCCAAGGGTAATAATGTGTCTGACAAGGGGAGGGTGTGTAGGAGGAGGCAGAGCGCGGACCACATCTCACTCACTTCTCAGCCTCCACTGTTTGGATGTGACACTCCTCATGGAAGGCTCTGGAGCAAGTATCACAGGAGAAGAGTGTCCCTCCTTTCCGGCACACCTCACATTCATCTGAGTTCTGCATCTACAAAGAAGAATATTTACATCACTGGGCCATGAAACCCACAGAGCAAAATTGTGGCAGTCCTCAAGGAGTGGCCTTTACATGAATCTGCAGGGGCATGGATGCCTCTTCCTGGGATATTAAATTACAGCATGGAATATTGCTCTTCACCCTTTGTCCACAGGCAGTCATGCCCACTGCCACTCCGGCCTCTGGCCCAGGGACCCCAGAGATCTAGTGCTCTGTCTCCCTCACCTTTAGGGTAAATGAGGACATGAGAACACATGGTGAAACACATGGTAGGATTCTTCTGACCCAAACACCCAGACTGGTTCCTCCTACCAGGCTTGGTGAGTTCTAGTAATGATGGCTCAGCACCCAGAGCAGCATACCCAAAATGAGTGAGCCCCTTCAAGGGCAGAGGGAACTATGACATTGGCAATGCATGAAGGGTTAAGGACTGGGCTTTTCTGGGATTGTAGTTAGGAGTTGGTACAAGGGTCACCTGGGGAACTATCCACATTTTTTTGAGTGACAATGTTAAACATCAAATTTAAAATTGTTATTCATTCAAGGAGTTAGATGATAGTTGTTTAAATTTGTTTTTGTCATCACCAGCAGTAATCTTATTTTTGAGGTATGTCTTCCTTTAGCCCAGGCTGGCCTTGGAATTGCTATCTAGCCAAGGCTGGACTTGCTATGTGCTGGAATCCCAGCCATGTGCCATCTTGCTTAGATAAAACTTAATTATTTAGAGGCGTGTGGGTAGGAACAACTCAAGGGTTTGGCATTCACACCCAAACAAATTAGAGGCTAATGCAAGGCAAAATCAAAGGAGACATTTTAGGCATAGTCTCTCACTGAGGACTTTGCATCCTGACCAACCAAATGTGTTTCTCAGTCTCACTTTCACTCAGCCTTGGGCACCTGCAGGGGGAATCCTAGAATTTGCTGACAGAGAATATTCACTCTTGAGTTCTTTGACTGAAAATACTGGTTTAGGTCATTCTGCCTAAAGCTTTTATCTTAGAATACCCCCCCAACCTATTTTTATGAACATACACATCTACTAGGCAAAAAGGTGTCATTGAACTGTTTTTTGGTACCAAAGCAAGATCTCCTTCCTGGCCCTGGATCCCAAGGAGCAGTGGTAGACTCATTCAAGGAGGCAGGGTCTGTTTTCTCAAGACTAGTTTCAATAATTCTACCATTCCTACACATTTAAGGCTCTTAACCATTTTCTTTAAATTTGGCCACCCAGAATACATCAAGCATGACCACCAGCACCCAGCTATACAGGTGCTGCCATGAGAACAACACAGAAGAAGTCACCACAATTATATCTGAGAACCCATAAGGCTCAGAGTCCTGGAGTCCAAGTAATCCCAAAGAGGAAATCCTTCACCATCTATTCAAAACTCAGCGCCGAGATGCCAAATAGAGTTCAATGTTAAGAGGCAAAGCTTGAAATGGCATTGCTTTAACACTTCCATTGGAAGGACTTGTCACACTTTCCATCTGTGGCTGAGGCAGTCTCAGCTCTTAACTCCAGTCCAGGGCCACGGATGACCAGGGCAAGTATGACCTGGAGTACAATAATCTGAGAAAGGGTGCTGTCACTGTCCACTGTTCTAGAATCTCCCACTTCACACTGTTGGTTATTCTGATATGGAGACAGTGACTTGGACACAGTCCTTGATGTCCCTTGATGTCTAGCTTCTCTAGAATCCTTGGATGCTCTGTGTATACTTGG